TAAAAATTAAAATCTTTTCTCAACTAATCATCTTTATCCTGCATCTTTTTGATTCATGATCGGCCTACAGAATTCAGGGAAATGGATAATAATATGAACATGAAATTGTGGAAAATTGATTAATGAGCATTGAGAACACGCTATTACGTAGCAAGAACAATGTGATAATAATAAACACGATTTATTCATTTACCTTTTTATTACCAATGATTCTTGTTATTACCACTAAAAAACATATTCTATCCCTCTGATTGACTTGATCATATTAATTTCTCTAATTAATTGTTGAATTAAATTAAACCTTCCAAATGTCTTATAATTAACTGTTAAAAGACTTCATTTGATTAGTAAATTAATTCAACGAGAAGAACAAGTTTTCTAGTGATCATTATGAGTTTTTTTGTTTCTCTCCGAATCAATAGTTAATTGTTAACTTTCACATCTTTGTAGGTTTTAATTGTGAGGCCTTTTAATTGTTATGAATAGTAAAATGATCAATCTGATCGTGATTGTAAATTGAAAACTGTTAATTAATCTGGTTGATATTTAATCATTTTGAAGGAGAAAAGGAAGAAAAAAAAAGTTTTCAAGGAGAAGATCAAATTTCATATGAGAGAATCAAGAAGATTAACAAGATAAGTGGAGGAAGAAGGTGGTGAAGATGATGAGGAAGATAAAGATGAGGATGGAGATAAGGATGAAGATGGAAAAATGGTTCACTTTGTTTATGTTTATTCGTGACAATATGAAATTAATTTAATCGTCATTTTTAGCGACTTTTCTCACATTATGTCCTCATCATCCTTCCGATGATAAAAGATGAAGATGAAGATGAGGATGACATTATTTTTCTTCTCTTTCTTTTGCTTCTCTATTAAGTGGCGATTACTCATCTTGTTTGATAATTTATTACTCGCTCGTATTGAGAAGTAAAAAGTGGCCTCAGCATTTTTGGAAAACGGATAAGACCAATCAAGTTTTTTTCTTCTTCTTCTTTTCCAAGATTAACACAAGAATTATCTTCATCTTCTTGTGTCTCATTTTACGTCAGTTTATTTAACGCCTTAGGCTAATTAGCTACTGATTTTCTTCATCTTGATGAGATGAAATTTCAAGAGAAAAAAAAATATTTGAAAACTTTTTCTCTCTCTCTCTCTTATATACCAAAAAACAATTTACTCTTCATAAGGATAACTAAGGATACAAGTTATCACCTATTCTGAAAACGATGAATTTTAAATTATCATGAAAATTATTCTGTCAAATTGATTGGAAAAAACAAATTATCATCTATTATAATGATTTCCTTTCATTAATTACAATTTATTAAAACATTTAGCTAACACTTAGCAATAACTAAAAGGAAAATCATTTCTCAATTTTCATCATCATAATCATAATTTAGATTGTGGTTAATTTTAATTCTAGTGATTAATAATAATAATTTTCTTCTACCGCATTCACTTATTGATTATTGTTGATTAACTTCAACAATTATCATCTTCAATTGGAGTTAACTATTACTATCAACCATTAATTGAGTTATTGCAATTACCTCACTATTATCATTGGAGTAATTGGTTAATAAATGAAGTTAATTAACATTCATTAAAATTGTTAGTTAGTTAGTTAATTTATTATATTATGTTCTCAATGTTTTTTACTGGTTACTGGATTAAAATTAAGGGGGTTAAAGGGTTTCCAACAATTTATGAGCTAATTGTCATTAAAGATATGAGATGATTAAGTAAATGATTAGATTAAGTTTCACTCGACACCCATGTTAATTTAAAACTTGTAAATTTAAATGAAATTGGTTTTTGATTAACAAAAATCCTCTCTTAATCTTCATAATTATCAGCATAAGAGTTAATCTGACCATAAATTCACTGAGAAATTGATTTGCCCTCAGGCTTTTATTTCAATTTTCTTCATCATCATCTCCTAATACTTATCATATCTTTGAGTAGATTAGCAATTACTTAATTTTGTTTCTCAATCTCTTTTCCTTTCAATTGATAAATGGCACTTCTACTTTTCCTGTTGCTGTTAATCCAATTTAATGATGAACATGATTCAAATTATAATCAGAAATTATCATCAGGCTAATAATCAAATGAAGCAAAATTGTCAACACGCAACAATTAACTCAAAATATATTGTTATTAATTTCCTTCCAGTCTCAATATCTTAATAAATAACCATGGAATCAGCAAAATTTGAATCATTAATTGTTTACAATTTAACGAATAAGACTGAAAAGTTATATTATATTTTTCTGTTTCTTTAATCATAATCAACACACTAATCATTTAATTTGATCAAAAATATTAATTCTATTGGAAGAAGGAAAAAAAAGTCTATTGGCAACAATTTAACCTTTAATTGCTAATTAGTTGTCTACTACTACTACTTTGTAATCACTTGAATGGATTTTAATTATTTTGATTAGGATTAGTGATAAAACAATGGTGAATAGGTGAAAGCTTAAAATGGATTGCAGGTAAAAACGCCTGAGGGGATTTGCCATGATAATAATAATATTTTCATCTTTATCATTATCATCATCACCATCTTCATTTGATAAAGTATTAGAAAAACGCTGATGATGATGAGGAGAAAAAAAACTAAAGATGATGAAGATGAAGATGATTTAGTTTGAGAAGACAATTAAGAAGACCAATTGAAAGGCCTCTTAACACTTTACATTGGCACTTATATGCTACACATTATAAAACTTTTCTAAATGCTGAAGAAGTTGAAATTTACCTGGATAAGTATTAAAAGAAAATCAAATTCTCAATGTTACCTTTACGAATCCAGAATTATTATATAATCTTAATTTTCTTATTAATATAATAAGTACAATATTCACAATTTAATCTGTTTGATTGGTGATTAGAAGTCGATTTGATCTTATTAACTGTGATTAGTTGTAAAATGATAAATTGATCTTGTTTTACAAGAAGATTAATTTGACAAAAGTATTAATAATATAATTAAAAAGTTCTCGAAGTAAAATTTTCTTTGATTATTATTATTATTCCAACGATATCTTGATTATATTAGTTCAACAATCAGATGATATTGATAATAGCAAAATGGATTCTCCTTGAATTGTAATGGAAGAAGAGAATATAAAATATTAATTATCTTGTTAATTGTTTAATTTTCTCAGGGAAAAATGATTGAGAACGTGAGTTATGTTAGATTTACAAATGAAGTTTGAATTCTCAATGAAGATGTTTAATTGGGTTCGCAATCAAATAACATGTCAGAATAAAGATAATGATGATTATTATGATGATGAGTGAGAATTTGCTTCCAGAATCACCAAGAATCTTATTCAGAACATTGAACAAGTCACGAATTTACCTTTACCTTGAATGACAATTTCTTTTCTTTTCTTTCTCTTTCATTTTTATAACTTGACAGAACTTTTTTATTCCAATAAACTTTAATCTTCGAAATTTATTAGTTTTTTTTTCGTTGAAATTTCTTTTTTTGTTCTTTTTTTGTTCATCATACGATTATCATCTTAATTTAGAATTTCAAAGATAATCTTTTTGTTGTTCTATCATCAATATTAGAAGAAAAAGAAGAAGAAAAAAAAATTCTAAAACTTGATTTACTTCTTATTCCATTGGATGATTACTTGATTGCTGGACAATCTCATAGCTTAAGCTACTTTATTATCTTTGTCTTAGAACTTGTTACCTGGTGTATTAGCTAATCACCTTATCTGATACCTTTTCCTCTTTCTAATCTTTTCTCATCAATATAAATCCAATAGAATATATTACAATTAGAGAAGGAGAAACTGTAGCATTGACGAAGAATTAGCAAGATAATTAAGGTTTCCTTTTCTCTTTTTGCTCGGTGGCTTATTTGAGTTCGATACCTGTTTCTATTTAGTAGTTACCTTTTTCTCCAGGTAATAGAATACAATTCTTACCAATATACTGAAAGAAACCCCATCGAGGGATCTAGTCAAGACGAGAATAAACTATCAAGAAGAAGAAGAGGAAAAGTAGATGGATGGATTACCAAGTCGTTGGTATTTTTTGTGGCCTTAAAAGCGAATCAATTTTGATGATAACCCGCTACGATATTGAGATTTACTTATTTACTTATTCATTGAAAAAAAAACTTATTCCATTTGTATTAATATCTTTTTTTTTTCTTCTTCTTATTTTCGTCTCTGTCTCTCTTGTTGTTGTTGTTGTTTAACCTTCACTTACACTTAACCTTCAATTTAACCTTTTTCAATCATTTGTTAACTCGTTTCGATTTACCTGTAACCGTGATTAGTTAATTCACCATTTTAAATGATTGATCTAAATGCTCATCTTTCTTTGCAGGTCAAAGGACAAGAGGTGTTTCTATCATTTAAACATGATAACTTATCTCTATTGGTTAAATTAAATGTAACTTAACCTTTCAATCAAACCTTTAAATAAACTTAATTGTCTGTAACCTTATATACCAAGTGATTAAAATACGATCATCAATATTATTTATTGATTCTGATAATTGAAAAACTTTTTCTCATACAAATCAATTCATCCAAATATCTCATTAACAATTAGCCTAATCAATTGATTGTCTTATTAAGTTAATTGTTTAATTGGTTAGTTCGTTTGTTTATCGTTTCCTTTACATAACTAATTGGTTCTATTTTTAATTGAACAATTAGATTGACTTTTTCATAGATTAATTAATGATTACGATTCCGAATGAAGTTGCAACGATATTTATTGTTATTGTTATTCTAGAAAAAGATTCATTACATTATGATTATGGTTTTTCTCAATAGATTGGAGCTGAAAGTATCACAATTATCAATTCATTTACTAATTGTTGGATTCTAAATGACGATTAATTAATTAATCAATCCAATTGGAAATTGATTTTTTTTCTTGTGCTTATGCTGCCATCTAACTAATTGGTGGAAAGTATTAGTGTGAAATTGTCTCACTAGATGTTGTTGGTGTCGACCGATCATCTGTTTACTTTTTTGTTTTGTCAACTTTTTATTTTCATCTTTGATTTCAATTTAAATTGTTCAATTGTTTTATTGGTATTTTTGTTATTTTTCATCTTTTATTAATCATGAACAATGGTAAATCAGATGATCTTGTGGCTGACATGATTGTACCGGAAAGAATAATTGTCATTGGTGGAGATAAAATGGCTTCAACAGAGAGATTCTCCCTGAGGTTGGATTTGAAAGTCATCTATTAGGAGATACTCGTAACAATCCAATTGATTTGCCTTCTCCACCCTCAATTCTAACTTATCAATCATATTCTAAATTCAATGATGATTTTAAATGGAGAGATGAGATGACCCCTGCCAAACCAAATCGTGTAAAAATAGACCCAATGGTGACCAGTAACGACGATTTTACCCCAGTGAAAGATGATTATACACCAATGAGAGATTCTCGGATGATGAGGTTTTTACATTTTCTTTTATTGGAATATTTAATTTTTTTGTTGTTCTTTTTGCACATTTAACCAGCAAAATGGTGGATTCTTCTAATAATATCTTTTCTCTCTATATATCTTCTTCCCTTTTCATAACAGTAGTTTTGACAGTAGTGCAACTCCAGCTGATGTGGTTACTACTCTAAAGCAACAAATAAGATCACTGAATCGACGGATATCTGCCATTGAACGAGAAAATCGTCAAAAAGATCAGCGAGATATGATTATTTATTCTGTTGGTTTAGTTTATATCGCTATGAAAGCTTTAATGTACATCAAAAGAAATATTTTATGAACATTTCGTCAAATTGTAACATGAATCAGGACCCACAAACACAATTAAAACACTCACACATCCAAACGAAACGCCATCATTGTGGTTATATGAGATAGACTATTCCAATCCGATTCGGATTTCTAACCAATGAATCAAACCAATTAGCAGTAATTACGATACTCTTTTAAATTGACCAACAATTTACTGTAAAAAAAACAAATACAGAATCAAAAAGAATTCAAATTTGTTAAAACAATTATGATTAGCCAACCAACGGAAACTCAATCAACTACCTTGTGATTTAATCGGTAACATTTAAGATTCTCATTGACAAAACAATCGTGATTCTAATTTCTTTCAATAGATTGTAACAATTAACTGAACACTAAGTTTCATTAACGACAGAAAAAATCTCAACTTATAATTTCCTATTCTAAATTAAATCATCAACTCAATTGTCGCGCTAATTTGAGCAATTTAACAATGAAAAAGTGAAACAAAATTACATCGATATTATAATTTAGTCTCCAACTAATATAAACACAAGATTCAGATAATGATTAAAGGTAAATAGTGACAATTAACTGTTAATTTGATAGCGATTCCATATCAGGAATTAACATCTCGTCTTTATCAAAAGTTGATGATAGAGTTAATTTAACAGTTAATTACTCACACAAAGCCTGGTAAAAGAGTTGTAATCATTTTATTGCAACAATTAAAAGCATAACTTATATATTATAACTCTGGAAAGTTAATTGTGATCAATTTATTAATAGTAAAAAAAAGTTAACGGCAAGGAAACTAAATCAAGTTCCGATCAGTTGAGATTCTGTTTAATTGATTGATTAGTTTTGTTTTTCTTTCCCAATGTTTATCAAATTTAGTTTCAATTCTCAAACAATTAAAAGTAAATAATGTTTTCAATTAACATTTCCATGACTATGATTCCATCCTGATAATTAAATTGTTAATCAAAGTTGATAACAATTTGATTCTATTATTTTTACAACCATTAACATCTAGTTAGTTAACTTTTAATCATACTAATAATTAACATGTTCAACGATTTATGTATGATAATTTACACCAAGAATTAAAACAAATTAATAAACTTATCTAATCACAATTAACAAAATTCTTGTTCATCTCTACCATTTAATTGAATTCAGTTAATTGTAATTGACAACTTTCAACGACAACAAACACCAACAATTCAAAACCAATTTTAATTGTGTCTATGTGATTGTGATTGTGATTTCATTTCATTGATAGTTAACTAATTAACGAAAACCTTTTGAAAAGGTTAATTAACTTGTTAATTATGATCAATGAAATTGCTTCGTTATGTTTATTCTCGTTAATTTGTTTCGGTGATCAACAATCATCTCTATTTAATAATTCTCAATGCCAAGAATATAATTATCTTCAAGGTAAGTGAATACACTGAGAATCAATATTTCCAGAATGTAACTGCAGTTACAAACAACAAGTACCTTAATCATGTTGTTAATTTTCATCTAATTGTTTTGAAAATTGACCATTGAAAATAATGATTTTTTCAAAGGGATATGTCAACCCTAAAACCCACCTCAAACCGATATTTTGACGATATGATAATCTTTGGACGAACTCAAGAAGAGCACGATTACAGATTAAGATTAGTACTTCAACGCTTAAAACAGAATGATGTTAAATTACGTCGTCATAAATGTACATTCTCAGTCAATGAAATGATTTACCTTGATCATAAAATTAATCAACCTGGTATTGTACCTGATCCTAGTAGAGCCGCTTCAATACTTTGTATTCAACCTAATAATTTGACCTCAAACACAAGAGAAAAAAGAAAGAGAAAAAGGGGAAAAATTAATTGGAACGATATACACTTGTACATTATCTTTGTACGAGGTGGTACCCTCTTAGGACATGGGAATGGCTCGGGGGTAGGAGGGTCTCCTAGAAGGCAAAGAGGCATAAGGGTATACGGAGAAGACGTTTGATAGTGCACCTCGTAAACTTTTTACGATAGTTTGATGTTGACTGTCTACAGGGAGGGTGGACCATTTCCCGATACATGGTACCATGGTAGGGTACGAGGTTAAGGGTCATCAAAAAAAGAAAGAGAAGAAAAGAAAGAGAAATAAAAAAGAAAAAGAAGAATAACGTAAATTTTGCCAAAGTTCGGGTGTGCTAATGGAAAATCGAACATTGAATTCTAATGGAATAGATATTATTATTATTATTATTAATATTTTATAGCGCTTATAATCAGAAGTATCATGGTCTAATTTGGGTGATCCAATGATTTTTGGTTCTCAAGTTATGCGCTCTTAAAGTTGTATGTATCAGATCACCCGCTGTAGCAGGTCAAAGAAAGTAAAGTGTGATTTTTATTAACTCCCGATTTTTTGTCGCCTTATAAGAAAAGCTTTTGTGCGGTTGTGTAGATCTTGTAAGTGAGTACAAGTTACACTGGTTACCACCCAAACCTTTGTCTTTAAAGTCTCGTAAAGAACAAGAGAACCTTGGGTGTCAAAGGCATGTATGGTTGGAACCGTATTTTGCTCTAGAATTTAGTGATAGGTGGCCTCCTTGTTCATGAACCGAAGTCCAGAAGACTCTTCTGAGAAGAGAGAGAGAGACAATCACAATTTGGTTTTTACCGTGTAAGTAAAGATGTTATGTGTTTGGTATCATCGAATAGACCTGGTTGACATGTACAAAAGTTGATAAGGTCAGAGGTCGGTAAGGCATAAGATACATATGTATGTCCGTCGGCTCAACAATCTCACTTCAAGCTGATTTTTCTCGACTTATGATTACAGCTAAACACGGGAATTAAGTTAATTGTGTTTGTTTAAATTAGATTAGGTCTTCACTAAAACAGTATCTCCTCTCTTGGCGAAAAAAGGCCCGGAGGACCTGAGACAATCAAACCGTCACGTAATTAATTTATTGATAACTGTCGACAGCTAATCAGCTCTTTCGCCTGATTTTTGCTCCGATTTCTTTGTCGAATGTGGACTGTTTTGTATCTTCCAGCACCATTAAGTCTTAGAAAATATTAGAAGGTTGAATGGTCCAATTAATTTATTCTATCAATTTTCTCAAATCATAATCCGCGAATCATAAGCCGAAAAAATCAGCTAAAATTGCAGATAGTGAGCTGACGGACATTGGACATATCTTATGCCTTATTCAATTATTGTATTTGAGCAGAAAAATTGCAATGGCGAGATAGGAAAAGTTTTTTCGCTAATTTTTTTGGCCTAGAAGTTCTGTGAATAATGCCTACTCAACAAATTGATTAAATAAATTGAACATTGAGCTTACGTTTAAACTAAAAATCAAGTCTCTAAATCAATTGCATCAAAAGTGATGAGCGTTCAAACATCGGGAGTTAATAAAAAATCACCCTGTAGTTATCGAAAAAAAGTCCAGCTAAAGAGCTAAGTGTGAGGTTCACTTTGATTTACTTAACTAAATTCCTGACGGTGACCTGACGAAATGAGAGCTTGCCGAAAGAAAAATGAACTCAGGCTATTCTGAAGAAATCAAAGCGATCTGAATTGCCGTTTTTTAGTTCTCGTCCTTAGAAAATTAGGTTTCTTGAAGTAAAGTCTTCGCTTCAACAAGACAACAATATAAATTATATTATATAATCAATACAATTTAGCAACAATCAAATGAAAAAATTTTCCTTAAAAATTGAACCGGAAGGCCAACGAAAATTTTGACTCACATGCATGGTAAGTTTATTTATTAATCAGTCGATTTTATCAACTTTATTTACATAAATTCTAAATTCTTTGACTTTCTGTTCGATAAATTGAATAAATTGTGGAATTTTGGAATGATTTAGTTGATGATAAGTACCAAAGTTGAATATAATTTTTGTGGCGAAAATATTGATTCTCAGTGTCCACTATATAAACGATTGACATTTCAATTGATTAACTGCTAAGTACTAATAACGATAATCTCTAAATTGTTAACAGATAAAATAAGTTTAATTTGTAACAGTGATTCTCAACTTGAACAATATAAACAATTACCAATCCACACACTAGCAATTAACGGTACACCAAATGATATTCAGGAAACATTAGTTGTCACCAATTTTAATCATCTAATCATTCAAAATGCCCAATTTAATGTCTCATCTCGACAAGAGGGTTCTCATGATAAATCAATTGTCCATCAATCACTGACCATTGTCCGGTCATCTAATGTCGCTGTCTGGTCTTGGGCCAATTTCAATTTCAAACACATCTACTTTGAAGATTGTCTATTAAATCCAATTTACGAGAAAAGTTCACACAAAGTTGTTACAAGTGATTTTCTACCTTCTAATTTATTATCATTATCATTTATTAATTGTCGAATTGTCAACATTGGTTATGGAGCATTGAGTTTTCTTAATTCAATTCGATCGCTAACAATTACTCATAATCATTTAACGACTTTCTCCCGATTGGCCTTACCCGATGAAGCTCCTGACCTTTGGTCAATCGATTTAAGTTACAATAAGATTGAAACTTTATCCGATTCTTTTACCAACAATTTACCTTCACTCAAGGAATTAAATCTTCGTAACAATCAATTGCTCACATTACCTGTTGATTTCTTTCATTCATCACTTTTACTCTCGTTAATTGACTTGGCAGGTAATTAACTTTTCTGTTTTACGATACAATTAAAAGTTAATCATTTTATACTTGATTATTGAGAGAAGAAATTAAAAGATTAACAATTAGTGAGAAATTGATCCAATCGAAACAACTTTTAATTAGAGGGGAACAAAATTCTTTGGACATTTAATTAAATCACTGATTAGTGAATTTGGAATATCTTTTAATTATAATGATTTTTTTTTAAGTATTTTGAAGAAACAAAAAATTAAAGGTAATATTAATTGAGCTTAATTATTAATTTCGGATGATGTACATTTTTATTTTTCTTTCAATTATCAAAATTTAATGGTTATGTGTAAATCAAAATGAATTAATTTTGTATTTTGTTGGATTATTATTGTTGGTTTTGTTTTGTTTTGTTTTGATTACTTTCTTTGTTTATTTATATAGATAATCCTTTGAAATGTGAAACTTTTTGCTGGACATTCACAAATAGCTCATTGTCTCATCCAAAACTACTTGACCAAACGAAATGTTTCTTGTCGAATCAAGCATCGGTTATATTGGCCTGGAGTAATGGTACCGAAGTTGGTTGTAATGATCCGTGTATTTAATCATTTACATGAAAAGGGTTCGCTTCTTTTGTCTTCTATCTGTCATTGGATTTAAAACTTGTGATTGTAAAGATCCACCAACAACTCGAGAACCAATTGATTGTCGTTTACTAACTGCTTCTGAGGTTGGTGTTGGTACAGTTACTTCCGATTCATCAATTAAACTTGCCCAAAATTCTGTTGGGAGACTTAATAGTGCTTCCATTGTATTTATTTGTGATGAATTTTCAGCATATAAAGCAACGGTAACGGGTCCGGTTGCACTTGAAAATCCAATTATGGTTGGACCAAGAACTCGTGCAATATTAACTTTGGTCATAGCACAAACCGGTGAATTGATAACCTTTTGTAAATGTATCATTAAATAGGCCAATGTGTGCTTATTAGCGAGAGGTAGTTCCGAGATGGCAGTAGCAATATAAGGTATACGATCTTCGAGGTTTTCCATTTTAGCTGCATCCACAAAATCTTTCCATAAAACTCGGGTAACCAAGGGTTCATCCAGACGATTAAGAAAATTCTTAATCATACCAGTCAATACATTGACATCGCAATTTGATAAAGGAGGAACTCCACTTTTAGATTTGAGAAATTTATCTACCATTGATTTTATTTCAGAATCACTTCCGGGTATCCTGTAAAGTCCAACATCATTTAAGCCTCTTTTTTCAATCTCACGGCAACAGTGAATAATTAGAGCAGGAATACAAGGTCTGGCAATTGGATTAACAAAATCAGCGATGGTGATTAGTCGACCTTTTTTCCCTACTTGATTGGATGTTGCGTATGGGACACAAGGTACGGGAAGTTTACTTTTACAATAAAGATGAACACAAGAGCGACAATCATTACATCGGTAATAATTGGAATAGAATCCAAATTTTCCTGAACAAACAGTACAAGTTTCGTTGGATCGTAATAACTTTTTCTGAGCAAATGAATGAGCTCTATTCTCAATTCGACTTTTACTTTGACTGTTTGGAAATGGAACTGGTCTTGGTGCATTTTCATTTATTGGTGTAAGAGTTGGATTGCTCATGTATTTACTTAAATCAACTAAACAAAGGGACAAAAGAAGATGAAAAAATAAGTAAATAGATTAATAATGGGATAATTAATTCAAGATGAAATTTGATTCCACTAACCTTTACTTTGAATTGTGACGGTGGTGGTTGTGGTAGTGACAGGAGGAGGAATTAAATTCTGATTACTTGCAAATCTTATCTCACCTGAAAGAAACAGTTAAAAGTAAATTAGTAAGTATATTTAGAGAAATTGAGTAACAACAAATTGTTTTACCTCTTTGCTTCTTAGCTGGTTCATCCAAATCATCTTCTGATTTGTCAAAATCATTGTCAGAAAGACATTCACTAGAAAAGTTAACCTCATCGATTTTGTTCTTAATCCATTGTTGTGATCTCTTTCCCGGCAAATGGAGGCTCTCATGGCGACTTCCTTTTTATAAGCTTCCCGAGTGTTTTTCAGATTGGCATCAAGTTGTCGATTCTCCATTTCCAAGAGATTCATTTTTTCTTTACACGTTTTCACCTCATTTTGAGCATAATTTAGTTGATCATTTAATTGATCGATCAATTTTACCATCTCAATAGAGAAATCAGTTAACTCGGTATTGTAAGGAACCAAACGACGGACCAGATCATCAAAATTAGCGACCAAAGAGAGAGTTAAATTTTGTTCCGTCATCTTGTTAACCCACAGATCATCAACAATTAACAAAATAAACTAAAATCCAATCAATTAGAAGATAAAAAAACAATCAATTTAGAGTCACAATCAATTAAAAACTGTCAATCTAAAGTCAACAAAATAAAAATTTGAATTGGAAACAAAGTTAACCGTCTTGAGAATTTTTTTTAAAAAAACCAACCAATCACCGATCAACGCGCCAAATACAAAACTGAAAAATTCCATTTTTTTATCAACCTAATCGGTTACCAATGGCAACCGACAATGAGAAAAAATAATTTTCTCTTATCTTTGTGCTAATCAAAATTAAATTTTAAACCAAACCAATTAATAAATTAAGTAAACAGAATGAAAAGCAAAAGTTGATCTTTCCAAATGTGTGATCTTGAAAGAAAAAACCAAATTGCGACGTGTCGATGATTAACTTCAAGAGACATTTGATTCAAGTGAATTATTGATTTTGAGAAAACAAAGAGAAACCTTTTCAAAATAGAAAACAATTTATCATCGGTGCCATTTTCTCTTCTCAGTGTTTAATTGTAAATGTTAAAGTGAGAATATGATTACTTTTAATTGACCCAAAAAAGAGAAGAAAAAACAAATTGATAAACAAAAAGAAAAGGAAAAAAGTAAATCAACATGAGCGGGTGAAGGAAAAAAAAGCCAATCCAGTTGGGAGAATGTGTTTTGTGTACCATAGAGGGAACCACATTTTCTTTTCTCTTGTGTTGTTGTGTTGAGAGTTATGACCATCTGATGTATTGAATTTCATTTTTATTTTGTGAATAGAGAAAAAAAAAGTAATAATCAAGAGAGAGAGAAAAACAAATTTATTGATATAAAATAATAATTTTCGCTTTAAATTGTTTAACTTAAGCTAGTCGTCGATTTGTTGCCCAAATCTTGTCATCAATGGTTTTCTAAAGCTTCTTGTAATTTTCTATTCTTCTTTGGAGATTCCATTTAAATCCTGGAACCAATTTAAAGAGACAACACATTATATTTCCATATACCGATTGTGTGTGTGTGAGTATATTTTTGGTGTGAATGTAAGTGTGTGAATGTGTGAATGTGTGTGTGTGTGTGTGAGTGTGAGTGAGTGAGTGAGTGTGATTTATGTGTCGGTAAATTGTTGGTAAAGGTAACATGTCGGAACTGAAAGGATCTCCCAACATTAAAGATTCCTTTGAACAGACCAATTGTCTTATTGACAAGGAAGGTTTGGCCTTGGCTCTTAAACACTTTACCAGTTCTACATTAACCATGAGATTGGCCGGTATTACTCAGATTAACAATTATATTAATCTATTTAATGATTATTGTCAATCAGATGGTGGTGGTGGCGGCGGCGGTGGTGGTGTTGGTCCTGCTGCTGTAGGTGTTGGTATTGGTGTTGGTATTGGTATCGGTGGTAATGTTACTGGAAATAGTGGTAACGTTGTTGGTGTTTCAAATGGAATAGTTAATGACAATGGACTTGAATTTCTTGCCAAACCATCTGATGGTGAAGAATTAGCTGATTGGATTTTAAAGAATAAAATCATTGAGCATATATTTGGTCCAAATTTACATGTTGAAGTTATCAAGCAAAGTCATATTGTTCTAAATTTTGTTGTCTCTCACCTAACAAAGGAACACATTGATGTTATCTGGAGTTCTGCTCAACTTAAACACTGTAGTCGTCAAGTTTTTGATATTTTAATACCATTAATCAAGAACATGAATATTGATACAGTTTTACATCTTTACTCGTTAATAAGAAATTTGGAACCCAAGGATCATACCGAGCAAACACTTCTTATTTCATCTTGTCTTCTTAAAATTATCTGGACTAAATCTCTTAATCTTTCTGAACCTCCTGCCTTTATACGAGAATGTAATCCATTAGATGATCTTTCCATGGTTAAAAGTCCAATTTTTACTTTATTACCTGGATCACCTTTAGACCAAAGGCATGGAGATCAAAGCAGTTCAAGTCCAAGTGTTGATGGAAGTGATGAAGACGATGAAGATGATTTTGAGCAAACAATGAAATACAAACCTCAGCCTAAAGAACACATTAAAAATAACCATACATCCGATAGTCAACAAACGAGCTGTGGTAGTCAGAGTTCCTCTGATGAGGGTAACTCAAATGGTAAGAATTTTTCAACATTTCGACCATTACATCGAATAATTAACACCATCAAGATCGAAGCTGATGTTCCTTTTGTTACTCAAATGGAAGAAGATGTTCACAAGAGAACCATGGATTCGGACGATGAATCTTCTACTCTAATTGAACCAGTTCCTCTTCAAGGGTCTCGTTCAACAATTGATCCTTTAAAGAAAAACGATTCTTCTTCACCTTTAGTGTTGGAAATGGAAGATTCCAGGATAATCCCTATGAACCATAGTTCCTCTTCTCATCTCAATAAGATTGGTGATGATGAAGAAGAAGAAGAAGAGGAAGAAGACGAAGAGGATGAAGAGGATGAAGATGATGAAGATGAAGACGGTGATGATGGTCTTTTACCTCATCTGGTTAAATCTGCTGTTATGTCGGATCAATCGGCTGGTGTAATGTCCAATTCTGAAGATGATAAACTTTTAAGTGACAATAATAGTAACAGTTCACAAGTTAGTCAATCATCACAAAAGAATATGGCTGATTTTGATGGTGAAGATTCTGCTTCTTTTTACAATTTTGATGATTTCTTTGATCCATCACGTAAATTGATTCTTAAAAATTCAACCTCAACACAATTAGCAACCATTAGCGCTTGTCTTCAGCCTCACAATTTTCCGGAAAAGAAGCGAACAAAATACCGACCAGATGAAGATGTAACCACGGCTACTCCCGTTCTCCCTTTACCTATCCCAAGTGAAGATAGTGAATCTAATGGTGAATTATCAAAATTTACCATTGATAATGTTTGTAAATCCGGTCAGACAATTTTATGGGATCTACTTCAAGATGATTGTATTGGTCAACTTTCTGATGGATTATCTCATGATTGTGAAAAAATATTGTGTAGTTTAATCTGTTGGATTGCCGATAGACGGATAAGAATGAAATTTATTGAAGGTTGTCTTGACAATTTATCAAAAAATTATTCCATCATTGTATCAATACGTTTACTGCCCAAATTGTTCATCTCATTTCAACAATATCGAGGAGGCATGGATACTCATTCGATAACATTGTGGGCAGATAAAGAGAGACAAATGTTGAAATATTTTTTCTCAAATCTTATTCTTTACACCAAGAGAAGGGAAATCAAATCAACAACCAATTCATCAGGATCTTCTCATGAATTATATACCCATACCGAAGAGCTACAATCAAGATTACAATTTCTTACCTTCATCTTTTCTTACGCTGGTTCACCGGAAACCTTTCAATTATCCAAAGATCAAGTTGATACTTTATGGAATTGTATTGCAACCGACAAAGAATGTAGTGATGAACTATTTAGTTGGCTATTGAATCAAGTTCGAACTCGCGATCAACATGCTTTAGGAGCCGATATGTTTAAATATATTCTTACCATGAAAATCCCAACACTAACTCCTGATAATTTCTCTATGGTTACACTTGAGCTTTTACAACAATTATTTGGCTTTGTACTAACTCGTCCTCAAATGAGTGAATCAGCTGACGTTGCAATCAAGAAATTATGGGACATCGCTTTACTTTCATCTAATTCTTATGTTAGTATGGCAGCAATTAGAAACTTAAACAATTATTATGTACATCTACCAATCTCTGGTTTGGAAAAAGAGGAAGAATTTGTTCACCAATGTATGGATTATCTGAAAACATCTTCAATCCAATTGTCCCAAGATGAGGATAAAAATTTAACAATCATCCAAAGAGCTCTAATCCTATTGAAAACTCACCTTGAAGCGTTTCGCTGTCGTTTCTCTTACCATTTAAGACTTTTCCACCTAAACGGTGAAGTTTCAGTTATCAGTCATTGTGACAATTGTAGTTCACGAGCAAGTCAACAATTGATTAAAATTATCTGCCATCCAGCTTCATCTAATGAGAAAACCGTTTTCGACATGTATTCATCTGACTATATTGGTGAACTTCGAGCTGAAATCTATCATTGGTTCCAATTGGTTGTTAAAAAGTGTAAATCAACTTCAAGTGGAGATGAAAAACAAGTTAGTGCCTCTTTTGATGGTCCATTGAGGTTACTATCTCAAGGTCAAGAATTGACACACGATCTTGATGAGAAAACACTTTCCGAGATGGGATTTAAAGATAATCAAGTTGTCTACGTGTCAATTGGCGTAACACGACCAAGTCGAAAACTTCGTGATACCGTTGATCCGGCATCATTATTACCCCCACCGCCCAAGAATCGTTTACCATCAATTCTGCTTCTTCAGCCAAACTATTTTGAACAACTTTTTGACCTAATGCAACTTTTAGGTTCAATGAAATTATCATCATTATCTAGAGCTCAGGTTTTATCTCGCCAAGTTTGGGAGATAATCAATATCCTTCCTACTTCACCCGATTTGTTAAAATCTTTCCAAAGTATAACTGTTAACGATGATTCAACAAACGAATCTTCAAAAAGTTCATCATCATCATCATCATCATCTTCTTCTTCCTCCCTCCGAGTTAATGGTCTTCTATCACCCAGTAGTCCACAGAAATTAATCTATTCAGTTCAAATAGTCGAATGGCTTCAGCGAACCTCAAAGAATGAAGAAAATGGTTGGGCTCAAAAGTTTATCGATTGTGTTGGTTTACAACATTTATTTGATATTTTTGTCTCTGGTGTTTTACAACAAGGAGATTCTGAGACTTGGAATGAATGGAAACAAGATTGTCTCGCTTCATTGTTGCATTTAATTTATCAATTTGGTATTGATTCCCTACCAAAAGACTGTAATAAATTAGAGACCAATAATTGTCAACCAATCAATGACACAACCACAACCATCAACTCTAACATTACCAATAGTATTAGCATAACAAGTGACAATTCAATAACCACAATTAACTCAGCTAATACTGGTATTACAATTACCGCCTTTCCAACAAACCCTCCATCAAATCTAATGGGTAATAATACTAACAATAAAGGTTTTTCAGAATTTGGTAAACGAAAGAGAAACCTAAAAGTGACCGTTGATAAACTTTTGGTCCATCAATTTAATGAGAAACTATTGGAAATGCTTCGTGATGCCGAATCAACATTAAGAGTTTTATTGACCGTTCTTAATGAGACAACTTCAATCTCAGCCGAATCAAACAATTACCAAACCCGATTCTGGGGTCGTGCTCAAGTTGTCCATAGTACACTTCAGTTCCTCATCTCATGGGCTTTCTCTGATCCTCAAATCAAATGCTCTCTCTTTCAATATCCTAATTTCAATTGTTTGCTTAAAAAATTGGTTCTCGATGATCCTGATCCCGCTGTTCGGCGAGAAGCGTGTACAGGATTCTACAGAATGTGCCTTGGAAGTACTTCTTCTCGTAAAACTGGACATATCTTTATCCCTAAAATGTTAAGCTCTCTTTTAGCCTTTCTTTCTGATGCTCAAGCCATGAAACCAATGGCAACGGAGCTTTTGTCTTCATCAAACAACACACTTACTCCATCATCTGCCTCATCATCATCTTCTTCATCATCATCCTGCTCTTCAACCTCAACATCAGCTCATGTTAATGAAACAATAGGATATATTGACAAAGAACCTTATGGACCGGGTTGTAAAGACTATTTCTGGCTGGTTTGTCGTCTTGTTGATTCCTTGGATGATTCAAATCGCGATGAGATGATGAACGATTTGAACAATTTATGCTATTACATGGCATCAACAATTGAGAATCGTGAGATTTGTGAGACTCGATTCAACTATGTTGAAGATGAAGGACTTCGTGGATTATTGTCTTTAATGACCGTTACAATTAAACAAAATCCACCTTACATGTTTTCAGATGAAGGGAATAAATTTTTAGTCTCTGCTTTTGATCTTCTATTTGCAACTCCAAATCAAAGTGATAAAAATTTACCTAAATGTAAATCTCAGGCCACTCGATCAGCTGCCTATGATTTACTTGTTGAATTGACAAAAGGTTGTGAAGAAAATACTATCACTCTGCTCAAATTATTGTTAAATCAACATAAATCATCATCACATGCTTCATACCCTTGGGATTATTGGCCTCATGATGGTTGCCGATCAGAGTGCGGTTATGTTGGTTTACTCAATCTTGGTGCTACCTGTTATATGGCCTCTTGTGTCCAGCATCTTTTCATGTTCCCTGAGGTTCGAGCTGCAATTCTATCAACTAAAGTTACCAATGAAACTAAATATTCAACCATTTTACAAGAACTTCAGAAAATGTTTGCCTTTCTAGCAGAAAGTGAAAGAAAAGCTTTCAATCCAAAAAGTTTCTGTAAAGTTTATACGATGAATAACCAACCTTTGAACACTGGAGAGCAAAAAGATATGACCGAGTTTTTCACTGATCTCATAAGTAAACTAGAAGAAATGTCTCCTCATTTGAAAGAAACGGTAAAAAGCCTTTTCGCTGGTACTCTATCTAACATTGTGGTCTCACTGGACTGTCCTCATATTAGTCGGACAACTGAAGAGTTTTATACTTTAAGATGTAAAGTCGCTGATATGAGACATCTTTGGGATTCATTAGATGAACTGACCGTTAAAGATACTCTTGAAGGTGATAATATGTGGACCTGCAGTCAATGTGGACGTAAAGTGAGAGCCGAAAAGCGAGCTTGCTTGAAAAAGATTCCAAGAATTTTGAGTTTCAATACGATGCGTTATACATACAATATGCCAACTCAAACAAAGGAAAAAGTCAATACTTACTTTTCTTTCCCATTAAGACTGGACATGTCCCCATATCTTGAAGAAAATTTAGTTCCTGGGGAAGGATCAAGTACCAAGAAAGATAATGATAAGAATAAGAACAATACTACTTCTTGTGAAGATAAAATTAACCAAGACATCAAAAGTGATAGTGATATTTGTGAAGAAAATGGTGTTTCTGATAAAGATTCAAATGGAGTTGATCATCAAACAAATGAAAGAAGCAATAATGACCAAGAAAACATGGAGAGTCAAATGAGCGATGAAAAATGTGATCCAAATGAAGGGGAAAATGTAAATGAAAATGAAAATGATGGTGATGATGATGATTATGATGATGAATCAACCGAGTATGAGCTTGTCGGTGTTACAGTTCACACTGGTAACGCGGACGGAGGTCATTATTATTGTTTTATCCGTGAACCTGATCCATCTAAGGGTAAAGATAAATGGTATATGTTCAATGATGCCGAGGTGAAACCTTTCGATGCTAGTCAAATAGCTGCTGAATGTTTTGGAGGTGAGATGACCAGTAAAACATATGATTCAGTTAATGACAAATTTATGGACTTTTCAATCGAGAAGACGAATAGCGCTTACATGTTATTCTATGAAAGGTTAACCAAGAGCAGAAAAAATGAAAAACCTACAACAGCAATAACAGTAAATTCCCTGAACATCAATGAAGAAAAGCCAATGAGCAAAACTGTGAAAACCAAATCCGAAATTGAATCAAATCCAGAAATTAGTAAATGGATATGGGAAGATAATATTCAATTTCTTCGTGATAAAAGTATTTTCGAGCCAACATATTTCAACTTTATGTGGCAAGTTTGCGGTTATATACCATCAACATTATCAGATCGTTCGAGAGTCGCTTTGGTTAACGCACAATTGGCAACCTCATTTGTATTGGAAACTTTCATTCACTCCAAAGAGAAACCATCAATTGCCAATTGGATTGAATTACTGACCAAACAATTTAACACGAGTCAACAAACGTGTGAATGGCTTCTTGAAACGTTAGCAGAAGATTATCATAACTGGCCAGTTCAAATTTTGATTAAATGTCCAAATCAAATGGTTCGCCAATTATTTCAACAGCTGATTATTCATGTCATTTCACAAATTCGTAATTCTCAAGAAGAATTGTACAAAAAAGGTCTTCAAGAAGATATTTGTAACAATGACCTTAAAGAACTTTCCTTTTCTTCATCATCTTCACCTTTACCATCACCAACTCAATATCCCAACGTATCATTATCTTCAACAACAACAACAACAACAACAACAACTTCTTCACCACCGCCTCATCTTCCACCTCCACCACCTCCTTTTCAAACCAATCAATTGAAAACCTCTCCTTCAACATCACCACCTCCCGTTGCATCATCTTCATCAACATCAGTACGAAGTTCAACTTCAACTTTACCTACAGTTACTCCAGCAATTACAACACAATCAACATCATCTCATCATCCACTGTCAACATCATCATCACCAACACCATCGATTTCGTCTTCACCATTATCCTCATCATCAAATTTAAAAGGACATTGTGTCGCTCGTTTCGTCCGTCGATTGGTATCCCTAGCCGAGTGCAATAATAGTTTGGTTCGACCTCATCTTAGACATTTAACCGAATATTTTACCCTTTTGTTTGAATTTTCGAAACTTGGTGAAGAAGAGACCAATTTTTTGCTCCGAATTAATACTATTTCTGTAGTGGTGCAATTTTATCTCAGTCATTATAAGGGAGCAGGAGAGTGTGTTGAGATTCTTTCCGATGAAGATGAGGAAGATGAAGAAGAGACCGTCCAAAGTTTGTTCCTTCAAGGTTTTCGCGCTGCCGCTTCGATGCCTCCAATCAATTTACCTGAAAAATATCCAAGACCTGCTTCTCTTGATAAAATGATCACCTTTGTGACTAGTTTAATTGAAAAATCTCGTTCCTCATCAGCTTCAAATCAGCTTGGTTTAAGTTCAAGTGACCTGGAATCCGTTCTTGGTGGTAAAAGTTTCCCATTCATACAAAGACAAATTCGCGATAACATTAACCTTCGTCAAAGTTTTAGTCTTATCTGCAGTCTTTCTCGTTATAATGAGACCACCGCTCAGGGAATTGTTAATATGCTTCTACATTCAATTTCTCGTCAACCTGAGACAAGTCAACCCTTTTTTCGTATCCTCTCGATGCTAGTCGAGTTATCACCCGAACAAAGTGGTCTCCCTTCATTTAGTAATCTAATTTATCCAAGAATCTGGGAAATCGCTGAACAAAATCCTCACCATTGCCTCGAATGGTTAACAGCCCAAGTACCAAGGAACAAGGCTGCACATGGTTTAGTTTTATTCAATCTAAATAATTGGGTTGAATATTTTCTACTTGCCCACAACAATCAGCGTGTTCGTAATGCAGCAGCTCTTTTAATCATTTCACTAGTTCCCAATAATCTTTTCCGTCAATCATATTTCAAATCACCTCGAACATTAATGTTGACCACTCGTGAAACAATGGAACTGACCAATGAAGCTATTCAAATCATTCGACAAGTATTTACTTGTTTACTTCAGCACTTGAAAAACGCCAAAAATTATTTGGATCCACAAACTCATGGAACAGCAAAGTTAACCTCCTATTTCGCTGTGATGGCCTATTGTTTGGTCGGACGTCAAGAGAAGCTCATGTTGATTCCTTACTTTTCCGATCTATGGAATCTCTTTCAGCCCAAACTAAGTGAACCTGCAATCGCCATAAATCAGAATAAACAAAGTCTCCTCTATTTCTGGCATCAAGCTTGTATCGATTGTCCAGAAAATATCAAATGTATTGTTCAAAATTCTCATGTGACCAAAAACATCGCATTCAATTACATATTAGCCGATCATGAAGATCAAGAGGTTGTTCTTTTCAATCGAATGATGTTACCTTCTTACTATGGGCTACTCTATCTTTGCTGTTCTCAATGTCGCTCATTCACTCGACACTTGGCCTTACACCAGAATATTCAATGGGCTTTCAAGAACATTACCCCTTATTATACTCAGTACCAATCGGCTGTTTCTGAACTGTTCAAATTGATGAAGCTTTTCATCACCGTTCATCCAGATAGCACTGAAATTGAACTTCGAGATATTTTATCCTTCAAACGTAATACTCTTCAGATGTACCTAACATCAATGGATTCTCGTTCATGTTGGACCACTTTAATTAACGCTTTCTCGATTCTTATCGATAATGAAGAAGATCAAATATTTGCAATTCTTAATGGAGGGATAATTGCACTTATCCAATCATTCAATACACTTTTCATGATGTTTCATGAAGCAACCGCGTGTCACATTACCAATGAGATAGTTGATCTTCTTAAATTAATGGCCAGTTTATTGCAAACATTAAGAAACTCTCAACAAACTGAAGCTCGTGAATGGTCAGCTAAATGGAAAGATCATTTAGAATTAATTAGAAAATTGATACTCTTATTGAATACTTTCACTCCAAGTGATGTTAGAAGCTCATGCATGGGTAAGTCGATATTGGAATAATATTATTCTCAGTTTATTCAAATGATTAATTCTTTTTGTTTTCTCTCTCTCTCTCTCTCTCTCTCTCTCTCTCTCTCTCTCTCTCTCTCTCTCTACAATTCAATTTACCAGCCGTACTCCTCGAAATAGTTCAAATTCATCCTAAAGATTGTGTACCTATGGTGGTTCAAACATTGGGCTTAGGACATTTAACATTCCAAGATCAATTGTTAAATTGTAAATTATTGTCTTTCAACAATCTATTAGATGAAAATACTTTGCATGAAATTGTTTGATTTACAATTTTTGTCTTTATCTTTACAGTTTCTGCTGGTCCATTTTTCCCAAGAAGAGGTCAAAGAGCAACTTTGTCCAAATCAAGTTTAAGACCATCAAGACCTGTCTTTCAAATGCATTTTCATCCCAAAATGTTGGAAGTTAATCTTGGTGCCGATGAAGATTATGATAAAGCCATCATAGAGTATTATTTGCCATATTATAAATTCATCTGTGATTTATGTCGAATTGCTGTTTCTCAGAATATTGTTAATCCAGAACTTGTTGGTCTTTGTAAGTTTCGAGTTTCAACAAATATTGGAACATTGAATTCTAACTAATTCCTTTTATTTATTTTTTCTCCATAAATTCAGGTTCAATGGTGGCTTCTGAATCATTATTAATGCAAATAACGTTATTTCCTGAATTGTGGTTAAATTATTCCAAATCATGTGATGATGGGGAACAAGAATTTTTCAATTTACTTTGTACATCGTCTAATTATTTTCGTGACTATATTTGCATGATATTAACTGGTGATCGTAATTTTCTCAATGAAGATATTGTTTATGAACTTGTCAAATCGTGTCTTCACAAGGTAAATATAAAACACCGACAATAACAATTTAGTAGAAAAGGTGACAAATTAATGCAAAATTGAACTAATTGAATCCATTTTTTTTTTCATTCTAAGGTTTATGGTCTTATAATTAATCAACATTTCATATTGAAAATGTTGAATATCGTTAGCTCATTAAGAGAGAGATTGGAACACACTGATTTGCTTAAAGATGCTAAAAGCTTAATTGGAGTAAGTATTGATTGTTATCCCTTGGTTACCTTTCAATATTTGATTAATTAATTCATCTTCTCATTTTAATCTCACAGGATATTCGTGTTATAATACTTATAATGAGCTGTGACCCACCGTCAAATTTATCTAATGATTTGAAAGCACCGATGCTCAAGTTCAGGGAAAAATGTTTAAGTTTAAAAGCAGCATCAGAAGAAGTATTATTTGAACATGGTAAGTATTTAAATAACTATTAGTATCTAATTGATTAATTGCTCCAATAGAAACAAATTATAATTGATTGTCTTTTCTAATTATCTACTTCTAGAAACACCTCATAAGAAACGGAAAACTCAAGATGATTTGTCAATGGAAGAAGATTCTAATAAGGACATTTTATCAGAAAATACAGAAAATATGAAAGATCGTTTAGAAAAGACGATAATTGAATTGCAAAAAGTTTTGGATAATAATTGAATTGTTATTCTTATTGAATAAGAAACTTATTTGATTATCTAATTTCTCTCTCTCTCTCTCTCTCTCTCTCTCTCACATAGACAGATTAATCTGTAAATCCAGATATATAAATATAAATGAGAGAGAAAAAGATATCAACTGTGTATCAAATATTGTAAATGTTTCTTCTTGACCATCTACTATCTTTATCATAATATTCATCATCTTTTTTGGTCTATTTTCACTTTCTTTAATCTATTTTCTGATTTTGCCTTCGATTTCCTTTTTTTTACGTTATAATTTTCACACTGACGTACACACACACATCATAATCCCAACTCAATCCCCATAAACATTGTAATATTCATATAATCCTCTTCCTCTTTTTCCTAATTGTCAAAAGAATAGCATATATATATATATAACTATATATATACACACACCTAAACAAATCTAACTCTATCACCCTCACATCAAATATTACACAGACTTACATAAATTCAGTATCATCATATATTCATAATCATGTTCAGCATAAACAACAAAAAAGTCCATAAATTTTTGTGATGATTTCAAGAGACCTTATAAATATATATACATTTATATATGTGTGTATATAACTATCTAAATACATTATATATATAAAGTGCTTTTGACCTGGAAAAAACACCAACAAACTGAAACTGAATCAATTTGGAGTTGGATTGATTGACTTATTACATGAGACGCGCTGAGAATAATCTATCAGATTAATCCATCGAGATTAAGGCTCGTTAAACTTGGAGATGTCGATTGACCAGCAATGATTTTGATCAACAATCCACCGAAATAGAAAAACAAGAAACCCGATCATTCATATTCTTATTTGGACTATTTAATGTCACCAATGGTCATCAGCTGATCAATTCTGCCAATGGAACCAAATTATTAATGATTTTTCTTGTTCTAAGACTGAATCTGTTAATCTTCATCTTCTATTGATTAACATCTCTCTCTCTCTTCTTCATCTTCTCTAATCTATTTTTTCATTATTTTCCTCCTTGAAACATTGTTTTTTTTTCTTCTCCTCTTGATTGTGATCATGATTATCGTTTCAATCCCATCTAATCATCTTTCCTATTCTTTCACCCTTTCAACACTTATACAAATTCATTTCAATCTAATTTCATCTATGAAGTAAAACATAAAATTTATAATTCGGAAAATTGTAAACAAATTGGTGTAAATCAAAAAGATATAAAATTAATCATTACAATTTAACAAAACGATTTCTATTCTATAAATTGATTTGTATACCGGAAAAGTTGGTTAACTTGATCACAACAATTAATCCAATAAGCATGTAAACACATAATTAAAATCAATTAGTTTGTTTCACAGAATCACAATCAATTTATTATCATTTTTAGAGTTTAAATTGTAATTCCGATTGAAACTCAGTTAATTTCCCAAGATTCTTGATTCTCAAATACAATTGACGGTAATTAGTTTTCTCACTCAATCGTTAATCGTGATATATATAAATTGTTTGAAGAGTAAATTGTTCATGATGATGTTTGATTAGTTAATTTCGGTAAACTGTTCAACCGATGTAAATTCCAAGGGTATAAACAAATGGGGAACATGATGTTCATCGTTCCGATAACCAGATTTTTCAGATAATCGTTTGAACATTTTGTTTGATCAAAAGCAATCGGATGCGGAAATGATTCTGTTTTTAATGACCAACACAATTTTCTGCAATTTAACCGGTTTTCTGGAATCAGAGAGAATAGAGAAAACAAATTGATTAATAACTAAATGGAAATGAAACAATTAATACTTGTTGCTGGGAGAAAATGAAAGTCAATCTGATGATTAAGGGAAAAGGTAAACAATTAAACGATTCTAATCCATTCTCATTGATGGCAAGATTAATTGTTACTAGAAATTGAGATTGTATTTGTTTCGAGTTGTAAATAAATTGGTTCATTCTACTTGCCTTGAAGATGAATTAAATTCAATTGGAACCAGACTGGTTTGATTAGATCATGAGATAATTCAGTTAACTGATTGTGATTTAAATTAAGCTCAACCAGTGCAGGTAATTTATTGAAAAGATCTGAATTCAAGTGGTTTAAATTATTGTAACTTAAATCGAGAAGCCAAAGATGATGAAGTTGATACGGAAAACTGTCACTTTGAATACTGCTCAGGGTATTGTGACTTAGAGTAAGTGTCCTCAGGTAAGGTGTATCTGAGAAGACATTTGGATCAATTGAGAGTAATTGACAATCGATAATATAAAGTTCAACCATTTTCCAGGAAAATAATCGTTTAGCAATTAGATCACTTAATCTTTGGCTTCCAATTTTTGTAATGGACGATTTTTCAATGTGAATCTGTTCAAATTCATAATCACTCCATCTCCAGGCTTGTAAATTTTGAACATATGAAGCAGTAAATGATTGATGTCGATTCAAAGTGAACACTATTTTATTTATATCATTATAATAATCGGTCATGTCCCAATCTCTTATAATCAAATGTCTAAATGAAATGTCAACCAATTGAAGATGAAATGATTCCTGATGAACTCCAACTAAATACAACGTGTGAATATCACGAACTGAGAATGGCACTTTGAGTGTATATTCATTTTCACAATGGACACTGATGACATCTTGATTGATTGTCAAGTAAATTAACAGAGAATCAGAATTATTTTCTTCATGGAATTGAAATTCAATGGGTAATATCATGGAAACTCACCTCGGATAAAGTGATAAGCTTGACAATCGTTACCAAGAAATGGTGTTTCTCGTATTTTACCAAAGCAAAGTATCGAGAAGAGACAAACGATTTTCTGATCTGATCTTATCATGATTTAGTTCCAATTGTTGTTAGAAATAAACAATTAGATGAACAATCACATTATGATTAACCAGAATCACAGAAAAAAAAACAATAATAAACAATAAATGTCGTCAATGGGATGTAACACAAGAGGAACCTTGTTGTAAATTCATGTTGATTGTTATTAAAGTGAGAATTGTTATTAGCGGTAAAGAAGCAATTTAATAGTAATTAAGATAATTTCTTATGACTTTTTCTTTACAATTACATCAATCAATTAATAGACAAACAGTTTAGATATACAATTGAACAGTGAATTTAATGAAATGATCTGAGAAACTTTTTCATCTCATGATGGGGGAATATAAACTCTTTGAGAACCAATGAACTAATTAGATTTAATCATAATGTTAATCACTTATTAGACAGTTAAGATTATGAGAAGATGCTTCTGAAAATCTTAAATCACCAGGGTGGATAATTAGAAATATTGATTAGTTAATTGTAATCATTGAACAGTAATCGTTTAGATGTTGTGTTCACCTTCATATAAACTAATTACTATTGTTGTTAATAGATTAACCTAAATCAACTTGACTTTTTATCGTTCCTTTACCTGATTAACTAAACAGTTAAAATTGTCGATTAATTAATGCTCATAATTTAGCAAAATCGAATCAATTTGTTCAATTTTACTAGAATTAACTTTCAACTCATTGATATATTGATCCTGTTGTCACAAAATATTCAATGTTTTCTTAATTGTAACCATCTAAATTGTACAATATACAATTAGTGATTAATTCATCCCAATCAAATTGATTTGATTCGTAAGTATTTCATTATCACCACTCGAGTTTCTTGAGATTATTTTAATCATTTAATCTCCTACTTTCTTGATTAACTAATTCTGTGGAGCGATAATCATTTCTCTTTCTCTCTCTCATGTTAATTATTAATCAAAACACTGATTTGATGATTTATATCAGAATTAATTGTTGATTTGATTATATAACCTGTCGTTAGTAGCTGAAAGGATTAATATTTTGCCAGGTTACAAGAAATTACTCATCAATTGTGATTTTAATTGTGGGATTATTAAGACAAACTGATCAAAAATTAATTGTAATCAATTGCGGTGTTGACAATAAATTATCGCAGATTGAGAGTCCAATGGTGAGTAATTAACATTGATCATCTAGAAAAGTTAATTATCATGACAATTCAAGGTTTCTCTTCCTGATTTGATAATCAAAATCACTGATCTGAATAGTAAATGATTATTACAACTTCGAGTAATCATTTCGGTACTCGATTAAAGGTCACATTATAAATAGACACAATTTCAGTTCAAATTACTTGATATTAATTATCAGTAATGTTAATAATTCATCTTTGAATATTATTCTTACAGCGAATTCCGTTCCAGGGAAAGTTCTGATCAAGTTGATATTGAGTTTCGATTTCGTTGTTGCTTTGAATCTTTCTAGAACTAAAAGATTCTTGTATTATCCACTTTGTATTCATACTTTTCGATAGTTTTTCCTCCATTTTCTTGATTGAATCAATTTTCTCTTTCCATGAAACTGTCATGTTTATCATGGATTAACAATCGATAGTTGACTTTCTCACTAATCCCATGGCTCCAACAGTTACCCACTCATCATTTTCTGTATAACATTTAGCATCATCAAAATATATTGGATGACTCCTTGTATCGATCGTCCAGCATAAACGATTACAAATCAATGGATTAACTAAACAATTAAATGAAAGAATACTAATTATCATCTGATTGGGAAAAAGAAGCCTTTAAATCATCATAGACTTTACCTGTAACATCAAGTATCCTGATAGGAAACCAAACCACAGAAAACAAGGACTGGTCAATAGTTTGAAGATGATTAGATTTCAAATTAATCTCGACAAGATTTGGTAAGACAACAGTTAATGATGAATCAATATGAGCAATTTGATTGTAACTCAAATCCAAAAGCCACAATTTATGATTTCCATCGGCAGGGAACGAGTTCATGTTCAACTCTTTCAGGGAATTTCGTGAAAGCACTAACATCCTCAACGAATACAAGGTGACAAAATGATCTTTAGGAATCGATTTGATTAAACATGAGACATATGATAATGTCTTTAATTGTGGTGGTAAATTGGGACCAGGGAGATCTTCACCATTGGATAAATCAGTTCTCTCAATGTGAAGATGATTGAAAGGTAAACGGCTCCATTCCCATTTGTTGATATTCTTACAATTAAATATTGTCACTGATTCATGTTCACGTTTACAATTTAATAAATAACTCCAATCTCTGAAACTCTTGGTCAGTGTTAATCCTTTGAGAATTAAATGTTTGTAATTAACTGGACACAAATCCCTTTCATCAAGAGACAGATTAGAACCGATAATCGCCAAAGTGTGAAGCTGAGAATCACCAAAAATTGAAGTATCGAAATTATCGGAACAGATGAAACTCTGTAAATCTAATTAAATGAGAGAGATGAACGTAATTAGCTAATTGTAAGTGGAATTGGAAACAATTTAAACTCACCATTAGTGTGATTGTAACCTGAACAGAATCCCGATCCAGTTAAATAAATACCTTTGTGTCTGCGACCAAAACAAATCAATGAAAAGAGACACAGAAATTTAATTCCATCAACTGGATTAGTTAATTGTGACTGTGGTGATGAGATAAATGATCCGGAATCAGGATTGAGAAACATTTTCAATACTTTAAAGTTTGAATTTATTGGTTATTTAGATGATCAATCAATTGGAAATACTAATTGTCCAAGTGAAAGTTAATCAATAACTATTCAGGATTTAAATTGTTTCAATTGTTCAATGACTGTTAAAGGAGAGTGTTAATCATAACCAATTAACGACTGACTGATTAGCCTTGTAAATGTTTTGTTGATTTAATAATATGAGTTGATTATCTTTGATTGTGTTTACTTGATAATTAATGTTTCCATCAATTGTATGTAACCATTAATGGAGAGAGAGGTAAATTATAATGGTTATGTTTAATTGTCAATCACTTTTGATATAAATTATCTGATTTAATCTTAATTGTTCATTTACAATTTACTAGCATACAGAGTGAATAGAAAATTTTCGAGAAAATTAAACAATAGTAAAGTGATTAAATCATAATCATTGAGATATTTAAGTCAAACAATTAATCAGAATTGGTTTAGATACAATTGGCGTTCAGTTTATTACTGACAATCAAGTTAATTGTTGCTCGCTAGATTTAAAATATTAGATTAAAAATGTTTCATATGGAAGCAAAATATTGGATCGTTTTTGTTTTTCGGTACAAATACAAAACAATTAACCAATTGTTTGGTTCTAATTAGTTTTGTTGTTCCTTTAACTTTGATAGTAAACTTTCAAAGTAATTAATTAATTTACTCAATCCAAAGATATAATTATCATCTTTACATTGAGATTCTCCTGAGGTGTTTGGTGTATTTGGGAAAACGTGAGCAAAATCAATCATTTTCAATATAATTTGATTGCTATCAGATGAATGGATGAATAGTAAAGATGATGAGATGAACTTCAAGTGATTTATGTTAATCGTATTAAACCAATTGAGAATCAATTGTAATTTGGATAAATATGTTTCACAAAGATTAACTCTCATAGTGACAGGATTTAATTGTGATCCAAGAAACAAATCCAATAAATTGGGAATATCTTCCGGTTTTAATTGTCGAGTAAATTTGGTATCAAGAATAGTATAATTATCATCCTTCATTGGATCATAAATCTATGGATGGAAAGAAAAACAAATTATCATTAGATGTTAATTAGAATTGATATTTATCATGATTATCGATTGGTAAACTCACTCGAGCTCCACAAATTCGGAAGCCATTGATTTCTTGCCAAGGATTTTTGGACATTTCATCTTGTATCTTTTGGGAATTAGCCTCGGGATCATAAGTGATTATACCGATTTTAATGTCCATATTAGATGGATTAGCTAATCCATTGGTTGCATCTTCTATTTTGATAAAAGGTATTTTGTCAACATGAACGAGACCATAAAATTTGGGGATAAATGATTTCAACTGGTCATCTTTTGAGTTCCAGATATTCTGGTAAAATTCATATTCCCGTTTACCTCGGACATCAGTTATTGGCTTGAGAAGTTCACATGTCCGATTATCTTTGAGTAGTCCAAATCTTGTCCTTCCTTTCCCGAAAATATGACCACACAATTGGTGATTAGGCCTTGAAATATGAGATGGTAAAGTAATTGGAGCACCGTTGATTGGATCCATTGGGGAAAAGGTTGATGAAAACAAAAATACAATCAAATTGGCACTTGATTAAAATTTGGAACAATTCATCTTCTAAAATGGTTAATTGTTGGTAAATTAAATCAATTTGAAAGACTTTGTGATCACCACAAATGTAATCATGTTAATTAGTGTCTGTTAAATGAATAAATTTCTCAGAGAAAAAGATAAACAAAAAAGGAAAACAAAGTCCACATAGTAGATTAAATGTAATTAAATCGAATCAATTTCATTAATATTCTGAAACATTGTGAATATTAAGGGAAGAATTTTAATTGTCAACAATAAACAACAAGATAATTAAAGGGAATTCAGATTAGAATAGAAATGAACACAAAATCAAATGGAACAATAAATGAGTGAGATTCATTTAGATTGAGAAGGAGAATTTTTTTCTCAACTGATCAGCTGATTAATTTTCTTTCTCTTCTCTTTTTCTTGTCTTAGTTGTTTATTTTTAATTCTATTGCAGATCTGCGGTTATTTATTTGATTTCTTTCAAATTTTGTTGATTATTTTAATTGTTTATCTAATTATGTCTTCGGCGAATGGAAATATCGACAAAATGTAAGTAATTGTGAGAATCAATTTGATTAACTTTTCTTTTTTTTCTCTTAAGGCCTAATTTTTGTTTTTGTTTTTCTTTTCTGTGTCTTCACATCCTAAGGGTTACAATTATGCCCAATGCAATTGTCTGTCGGGAACAAACAACAATCAGTGGGGATGTTGTCATTGGTAGTCGAACGATAATTCACCCAACAGTTACAATCATCGCTGAAAATGGACCGATTGTTATTGGAGAGTCTAACCTGATTGAGGAATATGTAACCATAATTAACAAGACTAATCAACCGATGATCATTGGGAATAACAATGTTTTCGAGGTTGGTGCTCATTCTGAATCACTTGAGATTCAGGATAACAATGTATTGGAATATAAAAGTCGAATCGGACCTAAAGTTAAACTAACCAATGGCTGTGTAATTGGTACAATGTGTGACCTTAATGATGATCAAATTTTACCCGAAAATACTGTTCTCTATGGGCCTGATTGTAAACAAAGAAAACAATTGGAAAAACCATCACTTCAAACATTTCAACTCGATTTTCTTAGTAAAATTATGCCTAATTATCAGAGAATTGAGAAACCAAGAAAAGGAACCAATAGTGCCGGTGGAAATTGATTATTCTTTCAATCTTCTAATTATAATCATTCGTTGTTGGGATGAAATTTCTTCTTCTATTCAAAGAATTAAAACTGGGAAAAACATGAGATGAGATTAAAGACATTTAATTGATTTGAAAATTACCAAATGGACCAAACCAAATCTACGGTTAAATAGTAGATAATATCGATTAAAATAGAAATACCAAATATAATAGTAATTGGGTTCTCTCTCTCTCATTGATTGATTTTGACCTGTTCCAAGTTTAATACTTGATCTGATCAAAGAGAACATAATAAGGTGAACTTCTTCGAGCGATGTCAACCGCTTTGTCTCCAGCATTGTTTACAATATTTACGTCGATGTTTGGATTAAAAAGGAGAAGTTCAATCATCTGTTTATTTTTGTTCGCAGCAGCAAGATGAAGAGGTGTCACTCCACCAGATGATCGAGCATTTATGTTGGCACCAGCATCGATTAAAATTGACGCCGACCGTAAATTACCCCATTTAGAGGCGCAATGTAAGGGTGTCCATTGGTCAATTGTTCTCGCCTCAATATCGGCTCCCAATTCAATCAAAGTTTGAACCACCTCATAGTTGTCACTGTAAGCCGCTTTATGGAGTGAACTGTAACCATCCGAATCTTTAACATTCAGTAAGTGTGGAAATTTGTTCACCATGAATTTTATATGATCCGGTTTTCCTTTTCTACAAAATTTAAACATCTTCTCTTCGGGTGTTAACTTTTTCGGCTCATCTGATGGATTAATTGGTGATTGATTCGAGGGATCAGGAAGAGTATCATCTGAACATTGGCTACTTGAACAACTGGTATCGTCCGAAAGGAATGACAACTCCTTGGAATCACTTAAATCAGAATCAGAAATCATGATGATGAAATTTCAACGCCAAAAATGACAAATGGATCAACAATGAAAACTTGAAGACTTTTACACTTAATGACAATCAACAATTTTCACTTTTACAAAACAATTTAAAGTCTCTAATAAATTAGTAAACTGATTACTGATATTGGATAATTAATGTTCCAAAATTAGTATCGGTTAATTGTAGATAGATTTTTTTTTGACAAATGATTACAATCAACGGATTGAAAAGTAAACACTGAAAGAAACAAAAGCTTTTAGATTGTATAAGTTTCTATGGAAACTTTTGGCGCATCAATCAAAAAGTCTTTTCAATTTTACAATTTAATTGATGGTAAAACAATTACCAGAATAATTGATATATTACTTGGAGACAATTTTAATTGTTAAATTAATTTTGTCTCTTTTTAGAAGATGAATGTCAATTGCAATTAATTGATTAAATTACATAAATTATGCCATAAATTGGTCACATTTTAGATGAAGGTAAGATAAGTTGTGTTGCTGTAATTGATTCCCGATGAACCTCCAATGGATCATTGATTGTTGGTAGATTAAGCTGATTATTTTTCCACAATTTAAATTGTTTAAAAAATACATTGCCAGACAAAAGGATAGGAGAGAGAGAATTGAAAGAAATATAAAGGAAAAAGTAAACAAGAATAAACAATATTAGTTTACAAGTGATTTCTTTTCTCATTTCGATCTTTCTATTCTGTTTGATCTTTTTTAAAAGAATCGGGAATCTTATTTACACTACTCAGCCTTCGACGAACTTCTCTCACTTCAAATCGACCATTAGATCGACCCGCTCCCGCTGAGCTTCCAGGCCAAATTGAGAAAGGCGAATGATCAGTTTCTTGAAGTTGCCTCCTTAAGGCTACAGAACTTTTTCTTCTTCCATGAGGTTCCATTTCAACGGGTCTTAATCCTCGATTAAATGAAGAGTCGCTGTTAATTGTTTCATTATTATTATCACTCTGCTAGAAGAGAATCAAAATGAGATATGAGATGAATCATTGAATTAGATCATTTCTTCAAGATTAAAAAGATACATTAATTCATGACAAGCAAAAAAAAATTGAATCATAAATTGAAGTTTGATTTTCTCTTTCTCAATAAGCTTTCAAGTTTCAATTGAAGCAACAATTAGTATCATCATTATTATTATTATTACTAATATTATATTATTGTTACTGATGATTAAAAACAATTAATAGGCAGTAAACATCAATTAACAGAATAATGAGAAACCCTGGAAATTAGATTCACCTGAATGTTAAACTCACTGATTTTGTTTTATTATCGAAATGGTTATAAAAAAAAGTGATGATTTTTATGATCATTTAGTATTCAATTGTTGCGTAAAAGGTGATTTTCAATTGATTGACAGAAATTAGAAATTAGATCAATCAAACTAAATGTCTGAACATTTCTAGAAGAAAAATGTTCAGCAAATCTGATATAATTATCCTTTGCATGTATCAAATTAAAATCTCATTATAATTAATGAATAGGAGGAGATATTTTTTTCCACACTCTGTTAATCTACAGTATATCTGTGTTATTGCAAACTCGAAAAAGTCTAATTCAGTTCTAACTGAAGCGATAAAATTTTCAATAGTAACAATATAATTACCCATTTTGAGCTATTTCGTCGACTAGAGTTGATTGTGTACCCGCGTTTACTTTTGGTGGGTAATCCTAATTCTGAGTCACCTTTGAAAGCTGGATTAACGGCTCCTTGGGAAATACTTGATCTTCTTGATCCATGGATCGTGGCCTGGGTGAGCCGACGAAGTAGATGAGATCCTTGCTGTAAATAGAAAATAAAATTGATAGATTTTAATTTATATACAAAGATGTTTAGAAAAAAAAAGTAAGAGTCAATTTGATAGAATTACTTTCAACTCATTTTCTGATTGTAAACATTTACAGGATAATAAAAGTCAACATCATAAACTAATTAATGGTTAATTTAGACTCTACCTTAATCGACTGAAAAGTTTATCAATGAGAGGGAAAGTGACTGAATAAGCAAATACGCTTACTATGAAAAGAGAAGGAAACAATTGGAACAATAGTATCATGTTAATCTATCAAGTTAATAAGTATATTAATCAAATTGTATCATGTGAATTGTAAAAAAAAACTAAACTCACCTCAGGCCTTCCATGGCTCCTTTGGTTACACTTTGATAAATGTCATCATTTTCAACATCACTGATCAAATCTTTGAGTGTTTGTAATTGTGTCACTCGAGCCTCAGGTTTTTGGCTTAACAGTTGATTAGGATCAAGACCTGCAATATTCTGTTAATCAAATAATAATAGTGTTAAATTAAACTAATTGAGATAAATTCTAAAACGATCAACACTCACCGCCCATTCTTCAAGAATACGTTTACCCATCATATCATCAGCTGTAACTGCCATTGACTTGCGATTGAAATAACGAGCAACTTTGATATCTTCCTTGAAGAATCTCTTATTCGAGTCCATTTTACCCATTGGAACAACTTGTTTAAGCTAAAGATGAATAAAGAAATATCAAGAGTTATTAATAAATTGGAAGCTGGAATTTATTGTTCTGGTTGTTTCAATTGGTCGGGTAACTTAATTACAGTTACAGAATACGGTTTCAACTATTAATAGTTGAAAGATGAGTGATTTATTATTTTATGTCAACTACTCTAATCGGCGGTTTGGTTTTAATTTATATCAATCGGTATTGTGATCCTTAAATTTCACATCAACACAATTATGTATTAAAACCTTAAATTGTGTTGATTACTAAATTGTTAGCTCTATTCTTGTTTAATCATGTTTTCGGCTAATGTTATGTAAAGATGATTCGAGAAACAATCAAATCAACAAGATTAAGTACGAAAATAGTTATTTTCATTTGATTATAAATAATTAAACTTACCCATAACATAATGTAAGCAACAAATATCATTCCGATTACGTTGACATAGGTCAAGAGTAGGGAGACTCCACCCAAAGCGATACTTTCATATCTCATATCCTCATAATAATGGACATTATATTTTTCTTGTGGTCTCCATGCAGGTTTAGAGATGATTGAGTGACCAGAGGTTGTATTATAAGTAATATAATCTTGACCTAATCCTCTCCATTGTAGATGACAAGCATAAGCCCATAATAGTCCCGTATTGATATGAGGCGGAAGGAAAGTTGAAGCAACAGCAACACCAACTAATGGACACTGGGCATCATTCAATAAGGTGATTGCAACTGCTCCACCAGCACCCATGGCCTGTAAAAGTCCATAAATCAAAGCTCTAGAAGCAGGAAAAAAAGAAGATAAAACAAAATTATTCATCTCAAAATGTAAATGAAAGAAAAGAAACTAAAAGGAATTTGAATCATTTATGTTACCTCCATGTTCCCCTCACCTCCATCTCAGGCGTAGGCCATACACCTTCAGGAGGAGGATCCCACTGTGTTGACCAGGTCATAAATATTATTCCATATAGGAAACCAATCACAACACAAATGATAAGAACAATAACCAAATTAATTGCACCAAGTTTAGCTAAACCTCGATCATGAATAATTAAACCAAAACAAATGGCCATTACCGTTGCCATAATGGGTTCAATCATCATGGCAGCAGCGATATCAACCGCACTGTTATTAAGTAAACCAGCGGCAGCAATAAAACCAGCAAACGTTGTGTAAGCCAAAAAATCAAAAGTCAACGAGGCTCCTGATCGGACACCTTCAACTACCTGAGCAACGGTCAATCGGGATGTAACTGATTTAAGAAAATCTTTCTGGGCTTTCTTGAAACGATTCTCCTCCTTGTTGAGTCCATACCTGTAAAAGAATAGATTGAACAATAGAAATCAAATCATAAATTAACGTTGAACAATAAAAACACAGACGAAAAGTAAAAAATCAATTCCAAATTAAATCTCAACGAGATGACGAATGACTAATTACAGAAAAAGAAATTCTAATTTACTATGTAAGGTGAAGGTCGATAGATGGCAGAAGAATAGATAAGAATCTGATTGGTTAAGAAAAAGAGTTTTCTTTTCTAGATGAACAATTAAATTTTCTTGAGAATGTTAATTGTTTTGATTGTTACTTCTATTTATTTAAATTAATTGTGATGGTTAATTGTGTTATTCTGTTAATGAGTTAAGGTTTTACGATGGTGTTTAGTCTTGATGTTTATTGAGAAATGTAAAGTTAAGGTGAGTTAAGGTTGATTGGGGATGAGGGCGGAAGGTAAATGTAATGTTAATAGAATTTGTTTTTGATTTGATTAATTTGGTGAGGTTAATCAACTTACTTGGTTAAATCGGTTATATCGGAATCAACTAGATCATCTTCGGTTGACCAGAATAATCCAAAAGGTATGTAGCCCAATGAGGTTTCCTTTTTAACTCCTATTCCAATCTCTCTTAATCGGTTAAGTATATAATCATTATCGTATAGATCAGCTGAGAAATAGACATGATAACGATTTCCAGTTCTATCGGTTATCCATGATGGACTTTCGATGCCCAATGATTGAAGACTAGTTTCCAATTGCTGATTTAGTTTTTATTTTTATTGTCACAGATTATGGAGAAACGTTCAATTAGAATGGATAAACAATCAACACCTAATTTTTCTTATTAATCTTTGAGATTTACCTTTTCCATTGGCTCTTCATCTGGGAAGCTCTTGATCTGTAACATTCCTGTTGAGTAAGTAAGATTATTAGTTAATCTATTCATAGAATAGGATTAAATGATTTACATTGAACCAGACCTCAGATTATTCTGTAAGATTTGATTAGTTGATTTATTTCTATTCCATTACTTTTTGTAGTTGATTTAATTGATTCTAATTGGTATCTAGACAATTAAATTTCATATTTTTCTTTCATCATATTTTCCAACCATTTAATCTGATTTACTGTTGCAATACTAATCCAGTTTAAAATTGTTACACAGGAAAATAAAGCAATTGATTATTAGGAAATCGATTGAGAAATCAGTTAATTATCATAAATCAACAGAAAACAATCACTAGATCACCTTTTTCATCATGACATTCAACTAGAAATGATATTTACTAATCAATCATAATTAATCTGAGGCTGAATTGTTTTCCTAACAACACCAATGTAAACTAAACATGTAAGGTAACAAAACAATTTAAATGTAATTATTTTAATTCTTAATTGTGATCAACTTACCTTCATATTTACTTTTTTTGTGATAATTTTTCTCATTTAAGATCTTTTCATATTCTTTCTTTGGTATGGTGACAATTATCCAAACAGCATCTTTGGCCATGGTGATGATGAATTACAATGAATACAATGGACAAGACTAACTAATTCCAGTTAATTACCAGGGAACACACACAATCCAATTAAAGAAATTAATATCAAAAAACAACCCAATTGACACAGAAATTGATTTGATGACACGTTTGATTGGATTTTTGATTGAAAATATCGTATCAGAATTTTACTTGGACACAATTAAATACATTGTTGCCATTTTTGACAATTGATTAGCAATATAATCAAACCAAATGAAATTCACGTACATTAGACTATCACTAATTACAATTTTCAATGATTATACTGGTAATATATATATATATTGAATATATATTACAGACACTAATTATAAGCAATAGATACTAATTAATTAATAATTGTTTCCACTACAAAAACTGTTAATCAAATGAATGTCAAGCAAACTAATACCAAATTGTCAACTATTGATGGATAAAAACAATGTTGGTAACAAATAATAGCGATCATGATAGTAACTATCATACACTTTCCTTGCCTCCTCCTCCATCATCATCATCATCTTCATCTTCATCACCATCTCATCATCAAACTAATTAAGCTTGAAATTAATTTGGTTCATAGTTTGATTGTTAATTACTTTAATTTTAGCTAATTGGTGAATCGAGAGCTTCTTCACGCTTCTCTTTTCTTTTACCAATATTTATTATTATTATTACATTTCATTTGTACTACAATTAACCCGTCAATTGACATTGACCAAGAATCAGTTGTTAATTGTTGATAACAATTAACAGAATTTAACTTTTCCAGGACTAACTAGACAATATGAATGAGATGTTTTACTTTACCTCTCTCTCTTTCAATACTATTACATTTTTGTTGTATCATTAACTGATTTGTGAATCAGAATCATCATCATTCATTGATGTCAACAATTTAATTCATTCTGATTCTGATTTATTACTATTAACCAATCAGAGTTAACTACTGTTTGAAACTTAATTCAGTGAGATTGTTGATTGGTAAAAATCAATCGAAAGCCCTATAACAATTAATAATAATTGGTGATTGTAATTATTTCAAGGTTGATAATTGCTGCGTATTCAAGATTTAATTAATTCGTTGAGCTTGTCTTCAGATAATGAAGACAATTTAATAATAATTATTTAATCAATTTCAACAATACAATTTAATTTTACCTTTCAACAATTGTGATGTTTCAAAGTTTTCATTAGGAAACAATTAAATCATGAGCGATGATTAGTTGATTAGTGTAAATATCATCAGTCTCAATTAATCGTAGCTGCTTTTTTTCAATAACAATTTAATTGTTTATTTGAGTAATTTAATTGAGGATCAATAAAGTGATTTAATTAATTGTTTCCCAAGTAACTTGTGTGTTGGAAAAGTTTTTTTATCTAACAAAATGTTGTTTGTTATCAACAATTAGTTAATCATGTAAATCTTGTTTAATTTTAATCATCAACAAATCAAACTAATCTAACAAAGTTCAATTAACTAATTGAAAATTAACTGTCAATTTTTGTTGATTATGTTAATGATTAGTAATCATCTTAAGTTGATTCACAGGAAATCGTGATTGATAATTAATTGTTGATTGACGTATGTCTAAATTAACTTAATTAACACAGGAAATAGATGATAGTTTAACAATCAAATTTATCAATGAATTGAGATCAACTTGAATACATCATTAAATCAATTTTATTCAAAAATAATACATAATAATTGTCAAAATAGAGGTGTAACAATTAAGTTAATCACAATGAATTATGATTCAATTGGTAATCAATTGATTGTTGTGTCCAAAATGGTGTTTAATTTGATTCTGTTGGGAGAAAAAAAAATTAACTTAATGAAATCAAGTAGATTAAAATTGACAATTAAAGTGACTTGTTAATAGATTAGTTAATTAAGATCAACAAATAACATTGAAACAAGAAACACAGTTAATCATTATTTTGAATGTTAATTAGTATCGGAAATGGATTAGCTAAAATTAGTAGTAATTGTTAGTTAATTGTTAGTATTATGAGTTAATTGTGATGAGAAAATCTAAATTTAATACTTACATTTGAAACAATTAAGTATCTAAATTGAAAAAAAAAATTGAAAACTCGAAAAAAAAGTCAATAACTTTTCTTGATTCTAATCAAAGATAAGTTAATTGTATTGTAATAATAATTAAATCAAGGAAACAATTGAAAGATTATCCTTATAATTTAATTTGTCGCTAATAAAATGATTGAATAAATGGCAAATCGATCCTGATCAATGATCGACAATTAAAAATGCAATAAAGTTGAACGATTATCGTCAAATATTTTCATTGTTTGATTTTTACAAATTAAGACGTTGATTGTTTAGGACAATTAAGATGACAGTTAATACAAAATACATGAATGTTGATGGATTGAGTTTACCTGAAGATGAAGTTAATTTTGGTTTTTTACATCGTTCAGTTGAAGCATAATCACCAATACATGATGAATAGGCGATTACATGAGCGATATAAGATTGATCATGAAGCCCCTTGAATAGATGTGACATGGGCCCGGTACTGTAAAGAGCGACATCTTCACCACCATGAACGGCGGATGACATGTTTATACTGGAATAGAATCGATGTCGTCCATTTTCCCGTTCGAGCACTTGAACCTCATCGACTCTCGGTTCAACATGACCTGGACCGGTTGCGTACTGAAGGGTGGCAAAGGTTTTGTCGGAAGTTTCCTCTTTGTGATCGGAAACACCGAAAATATCATTACCTCGAAGAGGATAACCGTTAATTGTGAATCCATGTGAATGATCAGCTGTAACAATCATGAGAGTTTCATCCATTGGTAAGATTTGGGTTGCCCGTTCAATGGCCGCGTCTAAACCAATCACCTCGTGAAGTGAAAGTCGAGCATAATTATCATGATGAGCGATATCAATAAGTCCTCCCTCAACGAGCAATACAAAACCTTCATCGTTTCTTGATAAAACTTTAACAGCTGATTCAACCAATTCAGCTAAACTTGGTGAACCCTCAGGCGATTTATTCCTCTCCAATTCATAAGGTAAATGGTCACGATTAAACAGTCCAAATAGATAATCAGTTTTAGAAGTGTCTACCGATCTAAGATCTTTACTATTGGTAACGAAAGACCAGTTAGCCGATAAAGCTTTTCGATCAGCAATCCAACGGTCAATAAGATTTACCCCATCCGAACGGATTCCCGGTGATGAGGCGGAAGCAGTTGGATCGGTAACATTTGGACCAGCAAATGACCTCCATCCACCTCCCATGATAACATTCAACTTATTACCAGGAGAATCTTCAACCAATTGTCTTGCAATATCTTTACAATTTGCTCCAAATTTTTGTGTATCAGTGTCACTTTCCCAATCTCTATTAGCGACATGAGAATAACCCGCCGCCGGTGTAGCATGAGTGATTCGAGTTGTTGTTACAATTCCGGTCGCTTTACCCGCCGCTTGAGCCCAAGTGAAAATTGATGGAACACCATTTTCGGCAATTACTTTACAATCTTTCTCAGTTCTAAATATCCTTCCGGAAACACCAAGGGTTCCATAATTAGCTTTGATTCCACAAGTAAACGCGGTCGCAGTTCCTGCTGAATCGGGTGTTTGTCTATCAAGATTGAAAGTCTAAACATGACGATGATGATAAAAAAAGAAAACAAATTAGAAGATTTCGAAAAAAAAAGTTCTTGTTCCGTGAATATCCAATTTCTTTACCTTAATCAATGCTGATTCAGGAAATTCCTCGAAGAACAATTTGTTTCCGTTTCCTGGTCCACCATTTAGTTGTTCTTTCAAAATTCGAGCTGCAGTTAGAGTCGAAATTCCCATTCCATCTCCGATAAAGAGAATAACATTTTTCGCAACTTTTTCATTCTTTTTAAAGTTGATCAATGATTCCAAATCAGCTTTAGCGTTATTGTACCAGTGCGACTCTTTGAATTCATTTTCCGGAATCTAATCAACGGAAAAGAGAAAATTGATAAACAATCAGTCATTGATTAAACAATTAAATTAGTCGGTTAACTGATTAAACTAAACTGTAAACTATTTATATTTCCACGGTCATGATAAACTGAACAATCAACTGTTAATCAGCTATACATTTGTATATGAGTGTTGATTGTTGTATCATTTTGACATCTAAATGTGATGACAATGGAAACTTTGATTTTATCTTAACAAGATGACAATTAAACCTTGAATTTAGGATAATAAATAGATTACAATTAAAAGTAAATTACAGTAAATTAACCATAAATTGTAAGACATTTAAATTGTAACATCATATTAGTTACTGTTTCTGATGGGTGTGTGTGAGAGAGTTGTAACAATTATCAACAAGATTCAATTTAATTTCTGTGTTAATTATGATGGGAGAAGAAAATTCCTTCACGGCAAAGTAATAACAATCAACGGAATTAACTTACGAAAGGTAATTGGGCTGGTGTGTCTCTCTTTGAACGGGAATACCCTTCGTTAACTGAATAGATTGACGGATGATGGGATTCACTCTGAATCGGGATAATCTCAACAACATGACCATCGTTCAATTGGATCGCCTTATTTTCATCATGATTGTAGCTTAAATTGTTCAGCAATTCATCCGATTGAATTGACTCTTCCAAACAGTTAACCGATGAATTGAATTCTGGTTCCTCTCGTAACGATTTGAATACTTGCCAGAAAATGACACGTCCAAATGATTCTTGGAAACCTCGATCCAAATGATCGGCTTTATTATCAACCGTTTGTTTACCGTTAATCACTTCGTAGCCGTGATTATGAAAATCAATCTTATCAACGTTGAGAATCACATGGTCGTTTTCAATTGATTTCTTTACGTCAAGATTGATCGAAATGTTGACATAATTCATTTCCACTGTTCCTGTACCATGAACCGGGAACATGAGGGCAACTGGGCCGTTGATATGATAATTTGCTTTAATTGCGATCGCTGGTATATCCATGGTTGCTTCATATTTATCTGTCAATTGTTCAGAATTGATTAGAAAGGAACAAGGGTAAAAAATTACACAATTAGTTTAATCAATTGATTAGCAATTCGATAAAGATGAACAGAAAAACTTTGATTATAATCTCGCAATGATTAGTGACTAATTTAATGGACAATTTTCTAGTTCTGTAATTGATTTAACCGATTCATTGATTTCTACCGTTGATTGTATTGATATTTAAACAATTTAATCTTCGGTCGTTTGGATTACGATTGTTGAGATTATTTTAAACACTCATATGGAAACAATTTGCTTGTTAATTAGTTAATTAACTTTGCATCTCTCTGGTTTAGTGTGTTTGTTTATGTTTTTATAATCAAAATTTTATTCTTTCTTATCAATCATCTTGTAATCTGACCTAAGGTCAATTAGTTTAAGAGGTTCAACTAAGGTCATTCATCTTATTTTTACTTTGTAGTTCAGTGTGAATATTGATTCTAGAAGCATTTGAGCTCAAGCCAAACTGCTAATCTTAGGTTATTTTATCTGAGAGTTTAAATAACATGGGAACGGTCAATTTGTCTCAAAATATTCAGAATTAGCTAATTGCTAGAAGAGCTGAAATTAAGTTTCTTTTCAAGATCTATGATAATTTCAATAATAATTAACATAGAAACCAGAAAATCTTGTACAACTTTCAAAACTTAGGTTAATGCCCATGTAAACGAGCTGATATTCACCATGATTGGGTGTAGTAAATTTCATGAATAGTTAATGATGAATATTCAGTCATGTTGATTGTTTAATAGTCAACAATGTGAATTTATTCAGGAGAGAGAGAGAAAGTCTTGGATTTCCATGAAATCTTCAAAGGAGACACACCTTGAGGAGCAACAATCAGTAAGATGATTTGTGAGAAATTAAATGAATTTGATTCTTACCTTTGGATACTCGTTTAAATGGTGACAATTTATAATCATTGAGTCCATGGATGGTTGTATCATTAAGGACAACATTGAAAAAGTCACGATTACATGATAAAAGTGGTGACAATTTAACTTGAGATGATAAAGTGACTACTTCATGTGTGTGTAAACATTTATTAAAAACATTGGTTAAATCAATTGATGAGGATGAAGATGATAAAGGTGATCCATATGAATTGTTTACTAAAATTAGGATTAAACTAATTGTAACGATTAACCCGTTTGATTGAAACATTTTTGTTTCTGTGGTGAATTGAATATGAATTAAGTTGATTTGTTATTCAATATTTATATATCAATTAATGAGATTATGATGGTGATAAAAATGATGATGAGTTTCTGATTATCCTTTTTTGTTGTTGTTGCTTTCACGATTAACTGAGTATGTTTAAGTTCACGAGGATTAAACGTTAATTATAGTCACTCTAAAATTAATTAAGACTATGATGATGATAATTATGTAATCATTTGTATCTTCACAATGGTAACAATAAAAGTTGTTGGATGATGATGATAAGTTGGGTAATGAATAGATAAATGATGCGCTGTAGATGTGGGAGAGAGAGAGAGAGAGAGGAGAAATGTAGTGATGACGAGGAAGAAAGTGAGAGGAGGATGAAAAGATGAGAGGGAGAAAGAGAGAAAGAGTGAGAGTGAGAGAGAGTGAGAGAGTGAGATGGATGAGTTGATTCAGAATAGTAAGACAATGGGGATAAGAGGATAATCTTTGCTCATCTTAATCTATTTGGAAATAAATTGTTTTTAAAAATAGTTCCAAGGGTCAAATGTTTGCAGGACAATTAACATTATCATGGACGTTGATTTAATTATCTTAATCATTTCGTCCTAATTGCCCCTGACAATCAAGATCAGTTTTTATATTGTTTGGTTTGACTAAATTGTTAATCTTTTAAATGATTATAATTTGATTATAAAGGAAACTATCAATCCCAATGAGCTTAATGATAAATCAATTATGTATATATAAGATAATGATTGAATTTAATCAACAAATTAACTGATTGATTTAATCAATTTTCCAGAAATTAAATCATCAGAGGAACCTTCTATCATTAATCAACCCCAAGAGACATGATAATTTGTTAATCACAATTAACAAAATAATGGTTTAATCATCTAAGAGTAAGGTTCAGGTAATTGTTTCTAATTAAACGTTTTAAATAACAATTAATCTCTTGCTAATTTAATTTGGTTGTCTGATTATTCATAATAATTAACCAATTCAATTATTCAACTTTAATTTACCATTGATCAAGATTGTTAATCAATTTTTACCTTTGATTAGGCCTATTGAAAGACAATCAATTTTATAATGTATCTTCATTGATTATCTTAATTGTTTATGTCTTCACAAGGGTAAATCAAAGTCAAATGATTAATTAAACTAATCAATAAAATACAATTAATTGATTGTCTTCCAATCGAAAGTGATAAAAGTTCAATCAATGAAAACGAGAAATAAAAAACAAACTTTTCAATTGAATTTCGGTTACCACAATTAACGAGATTATTATTACTCTTTACAATTAATTTTCACTTCTACTTCCTTAATTGTCTTTGGGATTTTTGAACAATTATATAAATTTAGATTGTTACTAATTAAATATGATAATTATGAGCTCGTTCAATAAACTTTACAATCGACAACAATTTAGTTAATTAAACTGTTACCTAAAAACTGAGGTATGAAAAGTCTTGGGTTTAATTTGGTGTCTGATGAACATTAAATCATGTTAATCAATTAGTTACGGTGTTAATTTTTTTAATTGTGATTATCATTATTTTCTAATTGTCATTAAGCCTGTTGGTTGATTCTAATGGGATAATTTCTGTTGAGTCATTTAAAGTTTTAATTGTTACTACTAAATCTAAATTGTTTCTCACCGGTAACATGATTACATTGATTAACATTTTGACAAAGTAAAACAAAATCATAATTATAATCAAAGTGATGCAATTAATTAACCTACGGTAATCAATAGCTATCATATTGAAAACAATCAATCAACTAATTGTTTAGTTACTCAGTAGGTTTTCAATTAGACCCAAAATTATTGATTCATTTGAGTAATAATACTTTTATCATTTAAAATCAGATTAACAATATGAAACCAATTAAATTGTAAATATTAGATAAACATGATTAAAGTTTTACAATTGAATTTAGAAAAGCAATTTAACTTTACTTCATTAATTGTTTCTCTCTGATTGTTTGAATTGAACAACAACAACAAAAAAAAACATGAAGAAAAAAAGTTCACCATGAAACCAGAATTTTTATTTTCTCTCGTTTATTTACAAAGGTAACAATTAGATAATTGTTGATGTAATGATTAGAAGTAAATTAACATTGAATTGTCAGTCACTGTTACTATTATCATGAGGAGAACATCATTTTTTTTTATTTTCATGAACAATGAACAAAAAAAAACAAGAACCATGATGATTATGGTTGATGAAAACATCACAATAATCAAGTTATTTATACAAGATATAAATTATCAACTAATGATTAGCTTTATACAACAATCATTAATTTTGTTTCATTCAATGGATCATCATGTTTATCATGATAACATGTAAATATTGTAATTGATGCTTCTTGCTATTGATGATGATGATGGTGAGAGAGAGAGAGAGAGAGAGAAATGATGATGATCCTAATGAGATGTAAAATATTATCATATTTATCTTTCTGTACATTTTCGTGAATGAAATATTATCATTATATTATCGATATTTCATCTCATCATCGTTCATTTTACAGGTCAGAAAATTTTGGAACTTCGGTAGAATCTTTTCTCCAGCCTTTGGCAGCATTTTCGACATCCTCTGATTGTAGCATTGCCATATTCCAATTGGCCATTAGTGTGAGTCCATCTTGGATATTATGATCTTGTGAATATCGAAGGCACATTTTACTTCCCTGAACGGCAACTGGACTTTTGGTCGCAATCAAAGAAGCCGTTTCAATGGCTGCTTTTTTCGTTGACTCTTCGTCGGCAAATATTTTACTAACTAGTCCCATCTAAAATTGAGGAAAATAGGAAAACAGTTTGGGTTACACGAAATTTGATTCGATTGTTGTTTCGATTTTGATAAAATTACCTCTTTCGCTTCGGTGACTGGTACTTTTCTTGCGGTGAAAATCATCTCACGAATATAACTCTCATTGCCAGAGATTCTTGAAGCTCTCTGTAAGAATCCCATGTCTGGTGCTCTTCCTGTGTCGATCTCTTTGACCTGGAAATAAGCGTCTTGGGAAGCGTAACGAATATCTGTTGCACCCACTAGTCCAAGAGCCGAGCCAACACAAGATCCATGTATCGCTGCGATTATTGGCTTTGAACATTGTTCCAAAACTGTAAACGAATCTTGAAACAATAAGATCATTGATCTGATATATTTTGCTTTACGAGCGATATCGGTCATTCCAGCAGTTCGAGGTGAGGTTCCTCTTATTTGGGCAACCATTTCGGTCATATCGTTGTAATCAAGGCCAACGGAAAACTGTTTACCAGATCCACTTAGAACAACAGATCGACAATGTTGATCATCGTTAATTCGACAAAATAATTCATATAATTCTCTGAACATTTCCTTATTTAGAGCATTTTTGGTGTCACATCGATGTAGTTCAACGTGAAGAACGTGCTCACAAGGCGATGACACCTGAAGTGTCTCGTAATCGTAGTTCGAAACATGAATCGATTTAGAAGATAAACTTCGACTTGAGGTTAACTTTTTTCCAGAAAAACGGGAAATTAAAGCTGCGTAATCAAATGAATTCAAAACAATTAGTCTAATTAAACGAGGTCACATAGACAAAGAAGATGAAACAATCAAAACGACAATCAAAATATTCACTTGTTGACAGTTCTAAACACTTATGTCATCTAGTGGTTCGAATACAAACTAAGTTGAGAAAAAAATGTAATTCTAATTGTAGATTTTTATTTCCTTCTAATTGTTTACTAATTTAATTTGATTGTCTAGCGATTAGATGATTGTTGAAATTTATTATTATTCTATTGTTGAATATTATTCAGAATCTCTGAGAAGAAATAACTTGAATCGATTCGTAAATTGGTCCGGTTGGGTGACCCTTGGTCTTGATTATCATTTGGGTGTTTTTTTGATTGTCATTGATGAGAAATTGATTGAGATGATTTATTACTCTAGTTACTAAGCGAGAGCTTGACAATCAAATCAAAGGTGATTATCATGGTTAATCAGATTTTCTCTTTGATTCCAATTGAAATGAGATTATTAGAGTTTCAAGGTTGGGGAATCCTTTTAACGAGAAAAACAATAACATGATAATCTAGTTAATTGTCACCTTGAAATCAACTGTTCAACAATCATCTGAATCATCAATCACAATTAAGAGACTGGTTTTCTCCGGCAAATTGTTAAATCAACGTAATTAACTGTAATTTTTTTCACATAGTAACAAGATCAGTTAATTCATCGATTGTTTTAAAAAAAATTAACATGAAAATCAAATAATTAGAAACTCTAAAAACAAGTGAAACAATGTCTACAATTAAGATAATAGGAAATAGAATCAATTTAACAATTAAGATATGGCAATTAACTATCAATTAATCACTCAAGTGTTGGATCAATAGTCGATAATAACTAATTTAGTCAACAATTAGTATCAAAATCAATCAAATTGTGAATCTTTTGACAATCAGTGTGAATTTCAGCCAAAACAATAACAAATTAATTTAGTAATCAAATGAACAATTAAAACAGAAATTTAAATTGTCATGAAATATTAAGGTGAACAAAATGAAAATAATTAAACAATTAACTTACCAAAGGTTTTAAGAAATGACATAATTGTCTTGATTGCTTGAGAATCAACTTTTAATAAAATGAAGGGTGAGAAAAACAATTAACACAATTAAAGTTAAATCAGTTGTAGATTGAAAATTTTAAATTGATTGAGTTGTTTGGTATTGTGATTGTAAACTAATGAAGGTTTGATTTGATTTGATTTGTAAATTGTTTGGAGTAAAACTTGAATTTATCTGATGTTTTTCCAACACTCTGACAACAATTAATAAACATGGAGACAATTTTAATGAGGATGATCAGATAAAACTCACTTATGATCTCATCCTCCCTTGATTAGTATCATCAATCAATTGATTGTTTCAATTGATTATAATCAACATCAGTTAAAAGTAATTAGATAAACAAAAAGGTATATTCTCGAGATTTAATTGTCCTTGTGATTATGTTTTCGTTTTTGTTTTTCAATCATCATTGTTTACGATTAAATGGTAAAATCAATATTAATTTTCAATCGCTGATTCAATTTGATTGTTGATTAAATGGTTAATGTAAACAATCAGTATTCACATTTGGTGACGCGTTTAAAACATATGATGGGTAAAGATGATGATCGATATTGTTTACACTTTCAAAGTGAAAATCAATTACATTTCTGATCATTTCATATGACATTTAATTAATTGGGGAAAATTAATTTCTTTGGTTAATCAAATTGTCAATAAAGACAAAGTTTACATTTAGGTTGTTATATTATTTTTTTTTATATATAAGTGATTCTCTCATCAAAATATATTGATAATCAAGTTTTCAAATTAAAACTTATCACCAAATAATTTGGTGTTTTGGTGGTGTAATTAAAAGTTATTGATAAAATAACAGTTTTCTTGACTTTCCTTTGAAGTGATTGATTATATATATAAATTAAGTTAATTGTTGAATATAAATTTTTGGAAAATGAAGTAAAATAATTTACAATTGATATTGTATATATAAATATATTGTTGATATAAATGCCATTTAATTGTTGTGATCACCATTTGAAACGTTGTTAACTTTAACAGGAGTGTTTGGTTTACGATGAACTGGACATGATGTGTTATCGACGGAATTGACCATTGGACAGACCAGTTCATTGGATTGGAATTCGGGTTTACTCCGTCGTTTCAGTAAATTAAATCGACTTGTTTTAATCTATGGTAAAGGAAGAAGAGAATTAATAATTAATTATTCAATGGTTGTGGAAGAAGAGAGAAAGAAAAACGAGTAATCCATGAAAATAATCTCAAATTAACTTTTCGGTTTAACGAAAACTGTGAATAACTTTACCGATACCAAAAAGTTCATCAATTTGTTCAGGTTATCTTTTTGTTTCTACTCAATTGTATAAATAATACATGGAGAGAGAGAGAAAGAGAGATTGTTACAGGATAATTATTGGAAAAAGAAAATGAGATTACAATAATCACACTGCTTAATCTCTCGACTATTTATGGTTACAGAATAAGCAGGAAATGAAAGATTATTCTGATCGGTTTCACTGGATAAAAGAATTACAGATTCAGTAATATGTAATCTAATCAGCTTTCGATTGATTTAGTATACATATTTATCTCACAATTAAACACGATCAAAAGTCTAAGATCATTTTTTTTCACATAAAAAGAATTGAGAAAATAATCTTTCAACTTACAGATATTTTTGTGGATATTATTGGAGATAAATTCTTTGAGCGATAATCTTTTTTAACCTGAACAAGTTCGGGTCCAATTAAATTGTTTAAACTGGTGTAAATGTATCTTCTTAGGAGAGATTTTGAACTTGGAATTCCTAAAAGTGAAGCCAACAGATCAGCATCAAATGCAGGTTCATGAATGATAAGAGCACCGTGAACACCACTACCTCTTAAACTTGAAGTATATTCGGAGAGATCAATACATCTTAACCATTCCATGACTCGATGAGAAGTCCATAAGGCAATAGAAGATGGATTATAATTGATTCCATCCATTTTATCATTAGAAACAGATCGTCTTTCCAAACAATTGGCTTCAAATTTTTGCTCCCTTAAAACTTGTATACCTCTTCTGATGCTACAATAGTGTAGCTTATTGGTAATGTTTAATTGAATCAAATCTTGAATAGTTAATTTATGTAATCGTGAACCATCAATCCTGGTGTTTAGAAAATTCTCTTTAAATTGTGGTAAACCAATATCATCTAACCAACGAGCAACCCACAGGTAGTCAAGTTTAGAAGCTGCTTGAGCCAATTGATCACAATCATTCATTTTTTTTTTCTTGACAAACAAAATCGATTCAATTGGAAAAAATAAAAACCAGTTGACAATTAGAATTTACACCTAAAACATAATTAGAAAGGAAAAGATTAATCTCATTACAAACAATTAAAAAGAAACAACAATTTGAAACACAAAATTAAATGATTAAAATTAATGAAAAAGAATTTTTTTTTTCTAAAATCAAATTTGTTTACCTTTTCATTGTTTTCTCCGGAATCGGGTATCGGATCTGATCAATTCTCGGATCCATTTACAGAAAATCATCACAGAGATGAAAATCTTTTTTTCGCAACACAAAACGTAAACTCAATTTTTTGCTTCCATTTTCCAAACTGTAGCCAAAAAAGGTGATGATAATTGAACGAAGTGACCATTAACTAAAGTTGTTAAAAGAAAAATTGATTAGAAAAGAGAAAAATTTCTCAATATCGAAATATCGGAAAGTGTAAAAATCTCCGAAAGCGTAAATAGAATAAAAAGAAAGGGGATGAACTCACATTACCAGTGCTTCTTTTCCCCGTCGTTGTCATGGTAACCGGTAATTGGAATTTTCTCTCTGTAGAATTTAGAGAAACAAACCCTTTGAATTGGTAGAGAAAAGAACGAGAATTGGGTAACCATTTGATCTTTGAAACAAATTCTATTCTTTTTTTTTGTTGCTCTTTCAAAATCCAAACAAAATACAATTTAAACAAAATCGATCAACTTAATTGGTGATTATCTTTGTTATCAGTTTTTTATACAATTATTGTGACAGAGAGAGAGAGAGAGAGAAAAATAATTTGATTTAATGAAAATTAATTTTCTTTTGCGTTGTTGTTTAGTTTGGTGAAGCGTCTCCACCATAATCCATCAATGGTTAAAACTGGATTGGTTTAGTTTATTGAAAAACCGTTTTTACGCTCACTCTCTCATCTTCTGTCTATTTCTCTTTCTTTGGTTTTGTTTCCTCTTTTTATATTATTTCTTCTCTCTTTCTCTCTCACTTCATTTTTTTCTTTTTTTTCTTCTTCTCGCCTGTGTGTCTCTCTCTCTCTCTCTCTCACTCATTCCCTCTCTTTTTTTTCTAGTTTCACCATGAATTACTGTTAAATTCTGGCGCTTCTGGATTCCACTCTCTTACACACTCAACACACCACACACACTCATCATAATAACTGTCATCAACTAAAAAAAACTACCAAGGTAAACACATTTAATTTAATATTGTGAATATTTTTTATTTTATATTTATATTTGTACATCAAAAGTGAGAAAACAAAATACTAACATGAGAGTTGTTGGACTAATAAGTGGTGGTAAAGATTCATGCTACAATTTAATGCAATGTGTTAAAAATGGTCATACTCTGGTTGGCCTTCTTAATTTACACCCTCCAGCTAATCAACAAGGTATGATCATTAAACTTCTCTTTCTCTCTCTCTCTCTCATTCAACCTTGTAACCCTGACTTTTTCCTCTACTTAACAAAATCTTATTTCCTTGATAACAAATGACAACCCCAAATGGGTAAATTTCTTGGTGATATTTTTATGCTGATTTATTGTTTTTCTTTTCTTTTTTTCTCTTTCTCTCTTTCTCTCTCTCTATTTACATTATCTCTTGTTTGCTTTATACTACCACTATATAGCAGGGCCTGCTGATGAATTAGATTCATACATGTACCAGACTGTAGGCCATCAAGCAATAGAGTTTTACTCAAAAGCCATTGATCTGCCCTTGTTTCGACATCCAATCTTAGGTAAACCAATAAACCGAGGCCCTGATTATCCTGTTGAAGAAAGTGGTGATGAAGTTGAAGATCTTTTCATAGCTTTAAGCAACCTAAAGCGTAAACTTGAATTTGATGCAATCTCGGTTGGTGCTATTCTATCCACTTATCAAAAAGTTCGAGCTGAAAATGTCTGTAAAAGACTTGATATTACTCTACTCTGTTACCTATGGGAAAGAAATCAGAAAGAGTTATTACAAGAGATGATCCAGGAAGGAATTCACGCTGTCATCATTAAAACAGCATCTATGGGATTGGAGCCGTACAAGCATCTTGGTTTAACATTACAACAAATGTTTCCAATTCTGGTCAACCTTAATGCCAAATATGGAATGAATATTTGTGGTGAAGGTGGTGAATATGAGACACTTACTCTCGATTGTCCATTATTTAAAAGTCGCCTCATCCTCGAACAAAGTCAAATTGTCATACATTCCGATGATGCTTTTGCTCCTGTTGGTTATTTGAAGCCAACTCGTATCACATTAGAAGCTAAGAGTTTCTGATTTTAATCTATCTCTCATTTCGTGTCTCTTTTTTACTCAACTTTTGTTAAAACAAAAGAAAACGTTGTAAACGTAATTATATCGTAAAAGTCAATCATTAACATCAAAAAAAACTTTTTTTTACCCAGTAACTGGTTTTAATCAAGTTGAAATTGATTTTCTTTTTGAAATTACAATTTATTGATGTCCATCCTCTCTCTCTCTCTCTCTCTCTCTCTCTCTCTCTCTCTCCAGTATACACAAGCTTCATCACCAATCAAAATCATCTGTTCCAATCAACACAATTCATCTAATTAGTCAAACATCAGAGACAAATTAACCATCGCCTGATTGGATCACTTTAAATTTACTATCAGTTTTTTTGGTTAACCCAAAAATTAATGTTATACAAAGACAAAGTGTATACATTCAATGTAGATGGATAATCATTATTTTTATATTTATGAAAACATTGATTGTTCAGATACAATTGAGGAAAATGATAAAAGGAAAAGTGAAAAATTTGATATTAGTGCACAATCATTGGTTTTTTTTACTAAAAAACCATTGAGAGAATTTATGAAAAAAGTGATTTTCTATTAACCATATTCACAGAATCGTAATTTTCATCTGTATATTCACTCAAATTTGTTTGTTTCTTTAATTGACTCAATGAATTGGAATCTTTTTTGATTCAATGGGACACACAGATTGATTTGGATTCTGCGAACAAAAAAGAGAGAGAGAGAAAAGGAAACGGAAAAGGTTTTATAAATAATCGTTATTCTTTTTTTTTCTTTGACTGAGTTACATAAATTAAGAAAGTGATGGAATGATGACAATTTGTTTTAATCATCATGATGATGGTGTAAAAAGAAAGACAAGTTTCCTCTTGTTAATTATCTTTCTCCCAACAGATAAACGTTAATCTTGTTGATGAAGTTTCAATGTGTCTCTTTGGGTGTTAAACATGAGAATCATGGTAATCATCATGTCGCTGATTATGAACAGGGTTTGAGAGAGAGAGAGAGAGAGATGAATGTGAAATGAGAAGAGTGAGTTGAGGGAGAAAGATGGTATTAAATACCACGGAAGACTTAATTTTCACAGTTAGCAAATTGTTGAGAAAATTGTTGATTGAAATAAATGAACATTTGAGAAAAGTGATAATGAAGATGAAGATGATTAAGAAAAAGTGATGATTAAATGAATCATTAAGCAATTGATTATGATTTAGAGAGAGGGAGAGTGAGATTTTGGTGCACTGATTGTTGTTTATCAATCAACTAATTAAGTTAACATTTATTGTTACAATCTAAACCTATGGTTGATGTTAATTGTTCATCTGTTTGATGATAAAACTTTTTCATCTCTTAATTTGATTTAATCATTTGAGCAATTAAGTTAATTTATAACATCGTAATAATCATGCTAATTAACAAAGAGCATCTTTGTCTTAACTGTCTTCAGTCTCTCTCTCTCTATCTTCACTATCACTAGTTAATTTACTTAGTTAATTAACTAGAACTTTGTAATTCTCACAATTAAATCTTAATTGCTGGTTTACTCTTTCTCGTTAATGAATGAATTAAATTGTGTATTTGAGATTCATGTTTTGTGCTTAATAGTTGATTGTTGATTTTACTATTGATTGTTATTAATTTGAAGCCAAAATCAACTAATCAATTGATAAAAATCATCTCGTAATGTTAATTAATCACAAATTAATCATAAATAATTTGTATTCTTTTGATTATCTGGTCTTTAAACAGTCAACTTAATCTTAATCTTGTTCATCTTCTTGTAAATGTTAATCTGATTAATCCATCATTAGGAAATCCTTTTGATTTGTAACAATCAAATTTCCTAATGAATGAATCACAATCAAATTCATCACAATGATAATAGTAATTAATAATTAATGTTAATAATAATGACTATTAATGACTTTGCCTTTTACATTTCTTAAATTACTATTTAGTTTTTTTGTCGCAATTGTTGACTGATTTCAATGATTGATGAATGATATGAGAGAGAGAGTGAGTGAGATGTTGATTGATTTAATCCGATCGATAATCTTAATCCTCTGAACAGATTCCACTTCGTTGTTTCCGTTGATATCGTCTAATCTTACGATCCCATTCCTCGGACCATTCGACTACCAGTGATTGTCGATCAGCAATTAGCCCTCGGGGCTCAGTTTCTCGCTCTTCGATTCCTGTTATAACCACGAGAGAAAAGCAGAGAGAGAGAGAATTAATTAAATTGTAAGTTAATTAGTTTTCTGGGTGAATAATAATGATGGAAAATGAAAGAAACGGCAAAATGTTGAATTGGATTTAGATGAGAAAAGATAAAATCATGATGACCATTGGGCTCTCGACAATTAATTCAATGTGACAATATTGACACAAAGATAATCATTAATGATTCATAAAAATTTATATTTCTTTGGCTATTGATTAGTTTAATATGTTGATTGTCATCAAATGTAAATAGTGATCATCATTAATATTATGTTGTCAGTTAAATTGTTCACAGTTAGTTGATCACTAATCTTTAATCTATAGTCAATCAACACGTTTTTTCCCATCCTAATTATCATGCTAATCAATTCTAATGATTGTGATTACAATTTTATCAGTTAAATCAACTATGGAAAAGTAATTCCAATATCATTCAGAACAATCAAATGGTCACTATTTACATATTAATTTAACCACATTGGCTTTAATCACTCACAACCAGCAACAATTTATCAACACCAGAAAGTTGATTATTTACCCAAAGATAAAACTGTTAATCAGTAAATTGTAATCTAATTGTAACTTAAAGGATTTTCTAACCTAATCCTAAATGAGGATAATATTGAAGATTTTATATTAATTGACTTAATTGTAATATAAACCATTGTTTAAATATCAATCATTATAAACTGAATTAAATAGTGTTAAGGTTAATTAGGTGATCTAATTACTTTTAGCTGATGAATAAGGAAGAGACAAGAAAGTGATTAATAAATTGCCAATTGTTGAGGATAATTTTGTTGACACAATTTGACAACCATGTAAACAATTTCAATGTTATTTTCCAACATGATGATGATGATTAACATTCATGATGATGATCATCATCAACCATTGAATTGGTTCAATAATCAAAGGGAAAAAATTGTCAGACAAAATGAAGCAAAAAAAATCGTAATTCATTGAGATATATAATCATTATCATGTTATATAAATGATGATAACCACGGAATGGGAGATGATGGAGAAAGAGAGAGAGGAAAGTTCTGGGAAGAGGATGGATGAAATTACGGATACGGAAATGATGACGATTATGAACTTACCTATAATGATGTAGTTTTCTTTGATTTTCATCTTAGGACATTTACATGCAAGATCTTGTACTGGAACCCAAAGTGATTCTGGTCCACGCCTTAACTTTGTTACAGTGTGTTTATAAATCTCTATTATTTGTATTGTGAATCGAATCCAGTCTCCAATTGTTTCCCTGGAGACAACATTAGCTTCAATTGCTGGAATATTGTGATTATCATGAGGAAAAGGAAGAAAAGTGTAAAAAGTAAAATAATAGAAATGATCATGAAAATGATATAAGAATCATGGAATTGGAATCAACTTTATTTTCTTATAATAGTTGTTGTTTGGGTTATTTATGTTTCTATTGGTTTTTATATGTTGGACTTTATTTTCTTTGCTTGTAACATCAAATTGTCTTGAAATCTTCAACTTGAAATTTATCTTCATCTCTTTATCCTCATCATTTTCTCACAGGCAAAATAATTCAATGTCAATGTAACATGGAAAAGAGAGTGAAAAGAGAGTAACAATAAAAAAAGTTCCGTTTTTTTGTCAATATTTTAATAGGAAAAACATTGGAACAAGTTCATTTTGTTTTACTTTTCTCTCCTCTGTTTGTTCAACTTTTATATCAGATGAAGATGAAGATGGAAATGGTCTCATCATCATCATCATCATTGTTGATGTTGATGCTCAATAGTATTTTCCTGTTCTAACAACATGATTGGCAAAATAGAAGAACATAAAAAGGTAAGATGAGAGAGAGATGATGATGATGATGAGAATGAGAATGATGAGGATGAAGATTTGATAAGGAGAAACTATTGGTATAAGAGTAAGATGATGATGATGATGATGAGGGAAAAGAAATCAAGTTTATGGTGTTGATGATGATGAGAGGAAGAGAGAAGATGAATAAGGTTGAGGATGAGTAACAAAAAAAGAGTAACAATGTATTCGAGATGAGGAAGATAAATAATGATGTTATCGGTGAAAGGATGAGGATGGAGATGATGATGATGATACAGAATCTGTTGAACTAACACTGAACCATATTGTCTGAGGTCAGATTAGGTTAGTTTATTTTTACCATTAAAAGTTTTCTCTAATGACAATTTGATATTAACCATTTTTTTTGTTGCTATTTTTCAAAATTTATCCAAAAATATTGAAATTATAATAATGATCATCATGTTGATAGTTTTTCCCTTTATTCAAATGATTCTGTAGATTCAAGGTTAATACTGAATTTCAGGAAAGTGATAATGATTTTCATGTAACACTGGGAGTTGAAAGTGATGATAATGTTGCTCCATGTTAATTATCATTATCATTAGTTGATATTTACAGTTAATCGTTTCAAGTTTAAATTATTTCTCCATCAACTGAATGAAACTTTCTTGATTATTGTGAGTAAATTTGATTGCAATCAGTATCAATTTAGATATATAAATTGTTACTCTAACTTACGATGATCAATTAAGTGAGAGAAAATCATTTTTTCCCTTAATTGACTAACATTAAATATCACTAATTAGTTGAATCTTCTTCTTCTTCTTAATTATCTTGTAATTAAATGAGATATTCATGTTTCAATCATAATTATTTTAACCACCAAGTTGGTATATGAAGATAATTAATCAACAAATTGTATCAAATTGTATATTAATTACTTGTTTGTAATTTATTATTGTAAAAGATAATCAATCAACTATGAAAATTAAGAGAAACAAAAAATTATCATAATTTAAAAATAAATCACAACAATTTGTTTTCAATTAATTCTCAATAGTGAAAAAAAAGTTAATCAACAATTACGATGACAATCAATTGATATCAAAAAAAAATCGTAACAGTGTTTGAGTTATGAATTTAACTGGATTTAACTGATTACTTAGATTTAAAATTGAGTAGGATGAGCAAATGATTAAGATGATGGTGAGGATTAAGACGAGTTGATGATGTAACTGAGGAAACTGATGAAGATGATGATGAGGAGGAGGATGAGGATGAAGATGAAGATGAAGATAAGGAGGCCATTGAAAAAGAGGAAGAAACTGATTACTTGAGGTTATCTCAGATTCAGTTTCATGATGGAATAAAAAAAAAGACTCATTCTAATCCCATGAGGAACAGAATCAAATGATACTTTACTTTTGATTAAAAAAAGAGATCCCATTGAGATAATCAAGGAAAAGTGTAATAAGTTAAATGATTATAAATCAAGAGCAATTTAATGTGATAATAATTTAACAAGGTTAATGGGAAATCAAAACAAGATTAGTCTTCCAGGTAAACTTTAAGTGTATCCAATGTAATATTAACATTATATCTAATTGCTTTCAGTTATCTATCACAATTATCATCATGATCAAGGTGAAAAAGAGGTGTTATCATGATGTTTGAAAAGGTTATCCAAAATATTATCACATGAAATGAGGTAGAAAAAAATAAATCTTGATAAAAGTTGTGTCATTTTCAACAAGTACATATAAATATTATATCAATTGGCTCTTACTACAATTCAGTTTTACCTGGAAAACTAATCAATTTAATCATCACCATTAAACTTAATTCAAAAGCGCAATTGACAATCAGAGATTTTCAAAATAACCACACAATGATTATTCATTCAGAATCAAATGGATAATGATAATGATCATGATCATGATCACCATCATGATGATGCTAATAAATTGAATGGTGGGAATGAAGATTAAGCTTTAGAATCTAATATAATAATGATAATTTGATTTTCACCTGAAATGATCAAATTTAATCCGATTCATGAAAATGAGCAATACCCAAAATTTTTTTACACTTTTTGATATTGAAAAATGAAATTGAATTAACACTTAACTACTTTACAATGTAAATTATGATCAAATTGTGTTGACAGGATTATTATTATCACTTTTTTCATCATCATCATGAAAACCACTGCACTATTATGATATCAAAATGAGATTTAACTTAATACTCAAAATGAATAAAAAATCAATAATAATGATGAAATTTGTGTTAACATGTGAAAAAAAATTGTTGATTGTTAACAGTTGATAAGATTTAATAGTAATCATAATATTGGTCTAGACGTAATTTGATTTGATTCAATTTAATTTACATATAAAGAGATGTTGATTGTCTCAATTAAAATGAGCAGAGACAATTAACAATAAAGGTAATACAGTAAGTTAATAGTAAATTTGATCAATGAAATCAGGTTCAGGAAGTTTTCAAATTGATTTTCCAATCAGAGTGTAACAAAGGTGATTATTATTAATATTGAATCTTTGGTGAAAAACTTGAATAATATTAAGCTAAGAGTATGAATGAGAATGAGTAACATGATGAGGATCATCAAACTAATGAAAGAATCATATTAATGTAAGATGATGATGAAGATGAAGCATCTCTCTCTCTCTCTCTCTCTCTCTCTTTCTCTTTCTCTCGATGAATATAATCTGTCTTCCGTCATTCTTCCCCCTGAGAATTGACAGAAAAGCTCAGAGGGATTTTTATTTATCTTATGAGAGTAGAAAGTGAGAAAAAATCTCTCAGAGTTTCTGATAGACTAACCCATGGATCTTTATTGAGGATTTTTAATAACATTTTATTCACAGTTGATAAGCATTCACTTTTTTTTCCTAGTAAAAGTTTACTGTTCATTTCCTTACACGGAGGGAAAATAAGATAGATAATCACATTGAATAATCAACTTCATCATTATCTTTATCATGATAATAACAGTCTCTCTCTCTCTCTATCAGTTTTTCATTCACTATCAAACTTGATTACAATACAATGGAACCAATGAATCACTCCCTGGAAACATGAGGCATCAAAAATCAGATAACAAACCTCGAGGCGATTCAATAGTAACTCTATTGTAATACTTGAGTTTTTTTCCCTCTAATGTTCATTCAAGATAAATATTTCAACTTTAAAGTTTACTAAATGATCACAATGTGATTACAATTTTAAATTGATTACGAATAATAATCATCAGTGATTAACTCATGTAACGAGAATGAATTTGCTTCATTGAACCATAGAAACAAGTATCGTAACTTTTAATCATCTCAATGTAACTGATTGTTGAGACTGAACTGTTCAGTATCTCTTGTTGTTTTCTCATGGAAACTAACAACATCATTGAATATGTTGATATAAGAGAAAGTGAGAATATGATGAAAGTGATGTGGTGATGAATGATGATGATGATGATAAATTTGAATAAAAGATTATAAATGGAAGCTCTTGTTTCCAAAAAGTTCAATTATTCATCAATATCCAAGGTAAAAAGATATTAGTGGAAGAAAAGTTTTTTCCTTTGTATTTTGTGTCTACTGAAGGAGAAAATGTTTCTCTCTATACATTTTTTTTTCTGCTTACTCTCTCACATTGAATACCCTCCATGAGAATACCTTCTAGACTATGTACACAATATTCATTACAGTTTGTGATGCGCTGGAATGTTAAAGGCCATTTAACTGTGCGATTTGATGAGCGAAAGATATAATATTGTTGAGAGCATCTATTGACAATCAAGGAGAAAACATTTTAATAGTGTTACCATTGATTGTATTAATACGAGAGAGAGAGAGAGTGAGAGTGAGTGAGTGAGGGAGAGTCCATTAAGGATTAATGTTTAGGTGAATAAACAACAACACCCACTGAATAGGAAGGGAATGACTCATGAAGAAGAAAAAGAGATTTCCAAGATGAAGGAAGATGCGGAGATGAAGATGAAGATGAAGATAAAGATGAAGGAGGAGAGAGAGAGAGAGGATAAGAATGATGAGGATAAGGTGATGGAAGAAGCAACAACATAAAACAAAGAAGATGAGATCAACTATATTAGATTGAGATTCGTTTATGTATCAGTAACTATGGAATCGGATGAGATACCTTTCCAATTGTCAGCGATTTTTTCACCTCAGAAAAAAGGAGAAATATAATCAGGTAACTGATTCTCATTCCATGAATAAGAAACTTGAATTTACTATTGTTTACTATTGAATTTACACTGGTCACTGTTAATTTGATAACAATGGTCAAGTTGATCTGATAGAAAGTATCACTCGGCTCCGTGATTAGTTTACAGTTGCAAGTTAATCTAATTAGTTTTTCTACTCTAAATTTGAATACGATTGTGAGGATTAAGGTTAACACAATTGACTGAGTTTTTCATGGTGGAAAAAAATTACTTTCACTAACCTGATCAGTCTGTGTGAGTTAATCAATGCATGATAATCAAATATTCAAACATTTGGAAATCATTTGAGTGGAAAAAATTAATAATACCAAAGGTAAAAGTTGCAAAAAAAGTTGAAACAACTTCCTGTTATCCAGAATTCATGGTGAAAATATATAATTTCAAGTCTATAAACTGTGAATTCTGAATACAAGGCAGAACTTTTTTTCTTCCTTCTCTCCTTTTCAAAAAGGTGTAAAGGTGAAAGTAAAAGTTACACAAACTCTCAAATTCATTTCTAAATCACCTTAAGAAATTGTTTCCATTATAATCAATTAATTAAAGTAAATTGAGTTTGCAGATTTTATTACAATTACGAGAGATGAGGATGCAAAGGGAAATTGTGAAGAAGAAGAAGAAAAAAAAATTCATTCAACTAACTAATTGTTAGTTTAATGAATCAAAACTTTTCAGTAATAATTTGAATCTGTTTTCTCTTTCACTTGATGAGTGAATTAAGATTCAAGATGAAAAGTTTGTGATGTTAATTCACCAAGAATGAAATTCTTGAGATTTTTTTTTCTCTTCTCAACAAATAACATGTTAACAGTTATTTTCGTTTACAGATAACTAAACACCTTCGATGATTTCGATGAAGAAAAATTATCTCTGGTGAATAAACTCAAGGAATTACAGTTCGGAATTTCAGTTATCTTTTCCTATTCAGAACTTTTTCATCATCATCATGTTATTTATCCTCATCATCTTTTTTTATATTTACTCCTTTTTACTGATCATAATTATATCCAATCTATTTTCTTGTTGTTTCGAGAAACTTTTTCACCCATTTGCTCAATTGATCTGAGCAAAAATGAACTTCATCCAGAATTATGATTGACACTCAGTTATATTGATACAAGTAAATCACCAATTAGACTTTCGCTTGATTGTAATTAACTTTGATTATCCTTTTGATTTCATTGACATTTGAAAGTTTCAATGGGCCAAAAATGTTACGATTTGTAATTTTCAAAGTTGATTAAAAGACTTCACTTGATTTGATTTGACAGAGCAAAGAGAAAGTCATTAAACTGGATTTAATTACGTTGATACTTTTTAATTTGATAATTAGAGTAACAATTAACTTACCAAAGTCTCTTCTGCAAAATTTTCGCAAACTTAACTGATTAACTTCATCTCGACAATCATCGCAATTATCAGATTCTAAAATTAGAAGATTAGATTGAAAAGATTAGTTTATTATTCAATTAGAGGTTTAAGATTATTAAGATAATGGAAATAAATTGTTTGATTGTTTAGATTGGTCAAGTGATAGTATTAAAGTGAATAACTATTAATTCAATTGTTGAATTGGTCAAAATGACCATTACATTTGATTAAGTTTATTAACTTACCAGTTGTTTGCTGTTTGTTAACTTCATATGCTGATGCAATTGGAACCATATTGCTCATAGGAACACCTAATTCATGGGAGATAATAATGAAAATCAATGAGAAACTGAATCTGAACAATGAAATGAATCAAGTGTAATACAATTATCTTGATAAAATCGATAATTATTGTTATTATTATCTCTCTCTCATTGAGATGAAAGTAAATATATAATGTTGTTAATAGTATTTTGGGTTTTCATTGATACATCAGGTAAAATTTGATTATCACAATTAAATAAAGGATAATGATCAAAATCAAGATGAGAAACAACTGAAACTCAACTGATTAGAGAGAGAGAGAGAGAGAGAGAGAGAGAGAGAGAGAGATAGAGATGAGAGATGAACATGAACATGAACAACATGAATCGGATAATCGGATTAACTGTGGAAACCAAAATAATACAATTGATTAACTTACGAACACAAGGAGCTACAGTTGATCGACTCTGTTGATATCCTTTAGCACATCGATTACAGGTCACCCCAGTTACACCATCTTTACATGGACACTGTCCAGTTGTTTGGTTACAGGTTCGCCCAGAAGCACCAACAGGGTGACATTCACAAGCTTAATAAGGACAAATAGCAAATAAAAAAAAACACATACAAGATTAAGACCATATGATGAACATGATTAGACAATCAAATTGAAATTAATCTCACATTGATTTATGTGATTTATTGCTTTTCATTGTGTATTTTTGTTGTTGTTATCATTATTATTATATCGTTGTCATAATGATAATAATAATATAATAACAATTAATTGAGATAAACGTTATTGATATGAACAAAAAAAAGTAGATTATCTTGAGATTATTATTGAACAATATTATCAATGCTGTTATCAGATTGACAATTGAATGGTAAACGTAATAGGATTGTTGATACAGTTCAATATATATATTTACTATTATGACAATGATATTGTCATTGATATTCAATGAGAAAATCGAAATGTTTTATTGTCAAGTTATTTGTCCTTTTGTCCAGAATTATTATATCAGTTTCTATGTATCGAAATTGTTGATAACAAAGAGACACAATTTACTCTAGTACAAAATATTTTCCTCTGTATAGACTTACGTTTACATGCTTTTCGATGGGTTATTGGTTTTGTCGAGTCTCGATAATAACCTTCACGACAATAGTGACAATGTCGACCTGCAGTATTGTGTCGGCATTTCAAGCAAACACCGCCCGATTTGCGTCCCGAAAGTTTGTACAATTCCATATTGAATCGACATCGACGTGCATGTAGATTACAGTTACAGGCTGAAAAGGAATAATAAACAAAAAGTAATGTTAAGAATTGAGAAAAATTCAGAGTTCTAAGTAATCAGTTAAATGGGTTTTTCTTTTTGTCAAACTTTTATTTCAATCATGAAAAGTTTTCTCTCTCTCTCAATTTCCATGAATTCACCTTATAATATTGCTCTTTATTTATTAACAGTAATATGTTTCTTGTTTAGTCTCTAGATATCATGAGGAACCATCATAGAGATTTCATTTATTATGATTTACCTTTTTTTTTCATATACGAAAAAATATATTATGAACAATGATAATATGTTGTTCCCATTATCATGTAAAAAAATTGAGGGAAAAGGTTCAGTTTTTCATGAAAAATTGACTCCCCAGAGAAAGTTATTCAAGTATTTCACCTTTTCAATACTTGTGATGGTTAAACTGCTATTTTATCATAATCAGAAAATGATAATCAACCATATATATAATTCATAGGATCCATTTGCATGAGAGAAACACCAAATCTGAGATGTTCAATGACATTAATTTTTCTTGGCTCTTCAACAGCAACAAGAAAGGGTAATAATAATAAGAATCATGATAGGAAAAATTAAGATGAATTTACAAGATAATTTCATGGGGAGAAAGTGAACTAGCATCGTACTTTTTATAATGAATGGATCAAAATATTCAAATTCTAATGGAAGAAAATTGTTATTATCAATAAAATGGTTGAAAATATGATCATGTTAATGATTTGGGTGGAATAAGAATTGGTAAACAAATCTGAATAACATGAATTTCTGATGAACTTTCAAAAGCTACGAAAATGGTAATAAAATTTTGATAGAACTGAAATATTTTATTTACATTCGAGAGAAAGAAAAGTTCACTCAAATTCGTAAAGATTGATAACAGAATTTGTGCCAAAGTTAAATTAGAGAAAAAAAAGTTGATAGTAATGAGTTCGAAACACGAAATCATGATACTCGGAAAAGTTATCATTCCATCTAGAATTATTATCACAATTTAAGAATTTGAATATTGGTTGGAAAATTTCATCTTCTTTTCTCTTGAATCAATTGTCAATTAGATTTGAGGTTGAGAATAATATTAGTTGAATCTAATTCAGAGTAATATTCAATTTAAAGGTTCTCTTCTGGTTCTATTTCAGGTTCGAAAAGAAACTCAAGAACTTTTCGAGGGATTTTCGATAATCAATAAAACCAATAAGGTTTTTTTCGAGTAAAAAATAAAATTATTATCCAAGAAAAGAAGCAAAAAAAAAGAAAATAAGTTTCTCTCTCTTATAAGAAGCAATTTTTCCTTAAAACTTTAGATGAAACTGTCAAAGAAGATGAAGAAACATTTGAGATGAATTTTCTCTTCCTCATCCTCATCAATACTCTCTCAGGAACATCACTTTATGTGTACAGTTATTATTATTATCATTTTCCATCGCTACAAAAATAATAGCAACATGAAAATTGGATTCATGGCTTCAAGATAATAATAATAATAATCGTGATTCAGATTCTTAATAAAATATTAAAACAGAAAAAAAGAGAAAATTTTTCTCCATCAAATCCCTAGACTTACACATCCATATCCATGTACATGTTTCCCTTTTACCTGTAAAATTTACAGGTAAACAATTAGATAAAGTTGATTTGTGATGTAAGCAGAAATTAACATAATTGTTACAAATTAGTTTGATTATGTTTAATTGTGTAAACATAATAATAATGTATTACAATGATTAACAAGAGGAGAGAAGAAGTGAAAAAAAGTTGTATTCTCAATCTATTAAATAACAGTAACTTGTTTTCACTTAAAATACTTGAAGAAAAAGTTGTTTATGCTTTTGATGTCAACATTGCACTTGTTAGGCAGACGGAGGATGAGGATGAGGATGAGGATGGAGAGAGAGAGAGGGAGATGAAGAGGTTTTCAAAATGTAGGTGGAAGATGGAGAGAGAGAGAGAGAAAAGCAAATGAATGAATTTGATCCTTACGAGTTGGCGATGATTATGATGATGGAGCTGATTCCCTGACAGGTCAAGCTAAACTCTGTTTCTACTATTCAATTGTAATGGAGGCGGATTTGGATCCTAAATCACAATAATAATTTGGCTCACAATTTATTGTGGATAATATAAGTTGGCATGATTATTAAAGCCACCATAAGTTACTATTTATCATCCATCAAATGTGAGGGAAAAAAAGTCTCACAATTGCAAGGATAATATTGCTAATATTTGCAAAGACAATTTTCCATCTTGTTTGTTCAATCAACAAGAAGAAGAGAGAGAGAAAAAAAATTGGAGAGAGAATATTATATATTTTTCTCACTCACTCACTCACTCACTCACTCACTCACTCACTTTGCCTCTTGATGTTTAATGGTGTTGATGGTGTTGATCAAATCAACTAAATTTCTCTTCTTTTTCTATTAATAGTGATGAAGTTTAAATCGCAAAGATTAAAAGTGTTGTGACAATTAATCTTCAATCAACTTATTAACAACTAATGAGATGAAGAGAGAGAGAGAAAGGTGAACATGATAAAAGTTTTTCCATTACCCAAATGATTTCCAATTTCCAACTAATCAAAGAATATGATTGATTAAGAAAACATTTTAATGACAATTAGCCATTTTCGCGAGAAAAAAAAACATTCATGAATTAATGATTACCTATTGAGAATTCATATTAGATAATCATCTCTCTTGTTAAGTGCTAATGAGTCTTTAAGATTGATGATCAATTTTGTTTCTCCTTCTCCCTTCAATCGGAAATACAATCTAAAACTTTTTCCTGTTCAATCTACTACAAATCGTGAAGGTTTTCATCTTACTCTTGAATAATTAACAGATTAACAATTAAGTTGAATGATCTTTCAATTAATCTGAAATCTGTAAACTAGAAGCCCAAAAGGAAAATTAAGTTTAAGTCCATTCTCAAGGTTCTATCAGTTTTTCAATTACTATTATTATTCAATTTTCTTCTTGGGTGTAACGATCTCGTTGTGAGTTTAGTTCTTGATAATATTTACTATTCGTTGGCCTTGAAAATCATTCATTCCACTTCTTATATTAATACATATAAGATTTTCAGTGCGATCTTTTTTTAGGTTGAAAAATCGCCTTAAATTCATTTGATATAATTAAAATAATCATGAACACTCCTTGAACTTGTATATAATCTGATATTCTTACTGTTTCCTTTAGATTATCATTCTGTAAATAGTAATTAACAACAATCAAATTTAATTCTTGCAGAGGAAAAAAAAAATTGTTGCAAAATCGTGCAAATCAAAATTAACTAATAACAATAATAAAAATCATGATTTTCGCTATTTACTTACTGTTTAATTTAACTTTTAATTCAGTTAATTAAAAAGGTAAATAGTTAATTAAATTGAATTGCAAGAGAAACAAAACAAAAAATTATCAAGATAATAATAAAACTCTATCTCCTCCTAGTATATTTGTTCATTTAATGCCCTCAGGCATTTTGAGTTTTTCTTGTTGCTGTTGTTTATTTGATTCTTGTTTACTTTTTCTTGTTAATTGAATTGACAATTGAAATGAATTACCCTGTAATAAGATACTTGTAGATGCTGTTACTGATCAAATTAATCAACAATCTTGAACTTTCAACAATTCTGAGATTATTATTATTTTCAATCAGTTTTTCACCATAATCATCAGGGCTAATTTGATACTCTAATGTTTACATTATACTCCAAGCCTACTTTTATTATCCTGTTAAATTACAGGATAATCATCATGATCATCATGATATATTGAATTCTGTGAGTCTTATCATCTTACGTGGGAGTTATAATTATCCGTAATTTAAGATGAAACTACCAAGAATCATCAACAATTAAACTTAAATACTACCCAACAATTTAAATCGTTTCCTTATTATAACTTTTTTTATTATTTATTAAACTTTTTCATTCTAACATTCAAATTGATGAGTTTTGATTAATTTTCATAACAATTAACGATTTATACTTTACCAAACTATCATAGTTAATATTAGTTACTGGGAGTTTTTTCCCCCTGTAATTAATTGTTATAACAATTAACTTTGAATTACTAATCTAATGAATAACAATTAGTGTAAATTAATGATTTACAAGGAGCAGTAATTGATTTGAATCTAAATCACTATTGATTAAGTTGTCTTTTAAAACGTTAATTTGATCAGATTAACCAAGTTAATCAGGTATATTAAAGTTGATTAGATGATAATGTTTAATCACTAGGAAAATTTTTTCTAATTTAAACCGGATTTAGTTTTCGCCATTATATTTTATTCAAGTGAATCAAACAATTGTAATCATTTAGATTTGGAAATTGAATTAAACGAGTTAATTTACAATCAACTCATTAGGCTGTTAATTAATCATGATGATATGATTTTGAATAATTTATTATGATCATTTAATTGTTTTGGTCTCTCTTTCTCATCAAGAAACTTTTCAATCTAATAAAGTAAATTAATCCATTGATTGTAATCAATTGATTATGGGGATCATTAACTGTTACGGTTTCGAAACCCTTTCAAGGGTAAAAGGTGTATAAGGATATTAATCATAATCAAAGTTAATGATAAGCTATCAAGATCTAATGTCCAATGGAAAATAAATTGTCACCAATACTTTTGATGATCATCAGTCAACTGATTTAATGACAATCAGACATTTAAGTGAAATCCTTTTGAAACTGATCGTTAAAAAAGGTGAGATAAGTAGACACACTAAATCGAGAGATGGATAATGACAGAGATTAGTGATTGTTATTTGAAGATTTATTGACAGAGTGAGAAAAGAAGGGAGAAAGATGAGGGAGAGAGAGAGAGAGAAATGGGAAGAAATGAAGAGAGAGAACTGACCACCTAAAGAGGGACATATGATCATCTAACAAATAGAATTGACAGATTATCGGCCCCTCAGGTTCAAGGGTAAAAGTTAAATGAGACCAGAGGGTAACAGTTATTTCGGCCTCAAACTTCCCACTGGTGCCGTCAACAAGTGACTTGTGAATGTGAATAAATTTTAGACAAACAAATGACTCGAGAAAATAAGAGAGAGAGAGAATTGTTGATGGTAAGAGGAGAAGATGAGGATGAACAAGATGATGAAAGAAGATGATAATCACCATACTCTCTCTCTCTCTCTCTCTCTCTCTCTCTCTCGACTCTACTTGCTCTTCCATTAACCTGATTTTCACCTTTTTTCATCTTTGTCACATATCTACCTGGTCATCTGGTTGCCAAGGTTTATCCTTGGTCCTGATCTCACCTTATCAACACAAGAAATGACGATTATCCTCAACAGACAAGAAGTGGACCCTTGTCAACATCAATGAAACTATCGATTATTGAAATCTTTCCGATAATAAATAAAAAAAAACCCCATTAAAATGATAACAGGAAGCAGAAATTAGTGATAACTGTAATTAAATTAACAGGTTCTCATCTTTAGATTACATTAAATGGACAAATTTTCAGAAAATGGTCATAAAATTGACCATTATCACGATAACGAGGATATTACAATTCATATAAAAACTATTTAAAAAAGTAACAACAATTAGTTGAAACTGTCAACAACTATTTAATATGTTAATATGAATTAAATGATAAAATATATTGAAACTTTATAATGAGAAATTGGAATCAAATTAAATCAACTATTAATACTTAATCATTAACTCCCATTAATCATTGATCGTTCAAATTAAAAATCATCTCAATTTAAATTGTTTACAGTTAATAAATTATCAAGCTCTTTGTAAGGAACAGCTATTGAGGGTCAATTCCGTATTTGGAGGGATTGGTCAATATGAATGGTCAAGATGCTCAAAAATAGGAAAAAAAATTCTCATTTTTTTCTGATAAATTAACATGAAATTGTGATTGTTTTATTTTCCATGAGATAATATATCAGATTTCATTAGAGTGAAAATGGTTTCAGATATCAGATTGAATATTATTTTACAACTTTGAGAGATTCAATGATCTTTAATGGTTATTGATCAACAGAAAGAGAGAGACAGTGAAATTTTGAATAATTTATTTGATTATTATGTTGATTAACCAAAAAATCTGATTGTTTGATCGGAAATCTAATCCCAATAGTAGCAATTAAGAGACTAAATTAAACTTTTTTTTTCTTCTTCATATCAATTGTGTTTACAATTTAATTGTTTTCTGTTCTGGTTGATAATCCAAGTCTATTATATTATATTAAATGTATTAACTTTGTGCTTTTTTTTTGTTCATCATATTTACCCAAATTGTAACGGTGATTAATTAACTAATTAATAGATTATATCAATAGCCTGTAACCATATGAGATATTAAATGAATCAACAATAATAACCTTGAATCCTGTTGATGATTAACAAGGATTGTTATGGTTAACAGATTATTTCCTTTGATGAATTAAATTTACTTAATTAAAAGTTTACTTTTCTGTTCTGTTGTATTATTATTATTATTATTATTCCTGACAATTGAATTGAAAATTAACCCAAGAGTAAGTGATTAGTTAAGTAAACTTAATATTTACTTGATTATGGATTAAGATTGATGCTTCAACTAACTGAATTTGGTGAAATAATAATCGTATAGTTAACCTATATACCTTTAATTGTTGCAAATTAACTGGAAACTAGATTAGCCTTGTTACCACTTTATTAGTTAATCAATCAACTGTTACCATGTTGGACTGAACCTTGTTGAAAAAAATAACAATGAAAATAAAGGACAAACCTGAAAATAGGAGTGGAAATGTAATAATAATGACATGGAAATGTAATGAGTTGAATTGGAAATTACAGTTTGTGAAATATTAATAAACTTTATGAGCTAAATAAAGATAATAAATCATCAACAATTGAATGAAATTGAAACACCATCATGATAATATGAGATTAATCAAGAATTTATATTATATTAAATGTATAATCTCATTTATCGTTTTACTTGTTTTTTTTTTTTACTTTCCTATTGATGATAAAGATGAAGATGGAAATTGAGTATAAATATATTTATGTTTGTATGTGTATAGATAATGAATGAATCATGAATGAGAGATATTGAAATTTACTGATTAAAGAATAATGATAATTTCAATGTTTCATCTTGTGATGGACTTACGTTTACATTCATGAGCATTTTGGGCTGTGGCTCTTGCCCATGGGACATCAAAATGAAATGGTTTGCATTTCTCACAATCACGTCCCGCTGTGTTGTGTTTACATTCACAGGTAAGGTGGCCTTCTCGGTTGGTGATGCACCTAAACACAATCAGGAAAGAAAAAGGTAAGAAACAAAAAAAATGAGAAATATAAGAGAACCAAAAATTAACTCGAAATTTTCTTCTCTCAAAGATTATAATCTTGAGGTAGAAATTATTGAATGACCTTTCAAAGGCCAATGTTTTTGTTTGAATATACAGGTCAACATAGAGAGAGAGAGAGAGAGAGAGAGAGAGAGAGAGAGAGAGAGAGAGAGAGAGAGATGATGTTGATTATGATGATGATGCTAGAGGAGGAGGGAGGTTGTTCCTAGTGAGGGTGTGGAACCAATTTACCCAAACATGTTATTATCTCTTTTAAACATGATTTTGAAACACAATTAACTGTAACCTTTAACCTCGAGTTGAGTTTTCTCTCTCTCCTCATAGACATTTACTAGACAGGCAAAGGAAAAGTTACTTTTCTGTGTGTTTATGTGCGATTTTTTTTGCTGTTATTGTTATCGAGAAACTTTTCTACCTTCCAATGGATTTACAAAAGGTTATCCTAATCATTATTAGATAAACTGGTCAATTTTGACTGATAGACAAGCATTAGGAAGATGATTAGTAAAAGGGAAAAAAAATTATCTCCAAATAATTTAAGTAATAACTTGCAGCACAATTTAAGTCAATTTGTTTTCATGGTTAATTATTGAGAGTAGAAAAGTTTATGTGTCTATGATTTGTTTTCATCTTTTGTTTATTTGCTTACACTTTACAGTTTTATGAACAGTTCATGATGAACAGATTAAGCCATCAAAATCTCAAGGTAAGTGAGAGAGAGAGAGAGAGAGAGAGAGATGAAGATAAAGCATAATCATCCTCATCACTTTTCTGATTGAAAACGTGAATCTAAATGTTTACTTTTGTGAAAGAATAAAAAAAAACAAAGTAACAGTATTGTTATGCTATAACTAATTGCGATTCTAATTTAATTGCCAACATGGAGAAAAAGTTAATAATAATAACAATAATTAAGATATGGGGTGAACTTTAGAGGATAAATGATGAGCAAAATTCATGTTACCTTGAGCCATGACCATTGCATTTGCATCTACCTCCCACTGCAAGATCGGAAACGGCATAGTAAAAAGTATCTTCCGGTTTATGGGCCATCAGCATATTTGATAAATCGGTTTCATTTGCAAATGGATCAAATAAATTTGATAATGGAAATGGTGTCGATCCTTTCAGTTGATTGTTACCGTTGTTCTCATTGTTATTATTATTATTATCATTGTTTATCTTATTACCAATGATGCTCCCGGTAATCCTATTGTCACCTTCTCCATCTGCATCTTCATCATCTTCTCCATCAGTTTCAAAATTGACCAAGGGTTGGTCAGTTTGACCATTAACGCGATTAAAAATCACTCGTATGTCAGTTGCTGTGACCCAATCTTGAAGAACTGGACTATTGTCAAAATCATAGGCCGAGGGTCGACCCTCTAGGGTTGAAAAGGCAACCCTACCTCCGGGCTGTGAATCAATTGGCTGTTCAAGACAAAGAGGTTCTTGTTCATTTGATTTGGTTACTGTTGATTTTGCTGGTCGACGATAAACTTTTAAACAATCAGATGAATAATATTGAAATGGTTGCCATGTTTCACCAAAATCAGTTGATTTCATGATAACCATTGAATCAGGTTTTTGTGAGCAAAACTGTAAACTAACATAAGTTAATTCATATTTTTTGCCCAAACTCAATGTTATTGAAATGTTTTCCGTTGGATCAGTAAATGATTCCGATATCCAGCAAGTTGTATTAGTCGGATTATGAAGATCCGTTAGATAAGCCACTGGATGACGTTGTTCAACATTAGAATCACTTATAGCCTGAATAAAAGATTATTATAATATTTAAATTTTCTGTCAACTTTTCTCAACAAGAAACTAAATTGTTCGTAACACTAGATTAATGATTAACATGCACATAGAATCACAAAAATGAATTGTCACAGAACTTGCCACATACCTTCACTTTTTTACCGAAAGCCGCATTCACGAAATCGGGAATACATCGAATTGGTTGTCCAATCTCATCGTAACAGGGTTCGTTTACTGAAACTGTTGATAAACTAGAAAATTGTGAAATAATAATTAATCCGATTGCATTGAAGATGCAGACAATTTGCATTTTGATTGACTAATCAAAACGATCAATTCAATTTGGTTGACACTTATTTAGTTTGAATAATTTTCATTGACAATGAAATTTTTCACCAGAATCAAAAAACAAACAGAATCAAAAAGTTTACACCAAGTTAATCAATCGCATCCAATGAAACTTGTACACTGAGGATGTTGGTCATCATCATCATCTTCATCTTCAGCATCAAGAATATCAAATACGAGTGAGAATGTGTGTTACTCACGTGACCTTAGAATTCTGATTTCTTTTCTGATCGCTAGTGACATCTAACGGTTGATAACGATAACAATTTATTTGATAAACGATCAAAGTTAGTTAAGTTTCCAACAGAAAATTTAATTATTCATTTTAACCAATCAATGTAATCAAAAAGTGATGGATTAATTGTTCATTGAAGTTAATTAATATTAAATTGGAAAAATTGGTTGATTAAAATTTTGCTTCTTGAAAGAATAAGAAAAAGTTGATAATATAAGTCAAGAGAGGGCAACACGAAATCGAAATGAATTTTTTCTTCATTTTCTTTGATCATGTCAGGGTGAAATTCTTTGATTTCATTCAATATTCTGAGGTTAGTAAAAAGAATTGAGTAAACTTTATTCATGGGAGGAATTCTTGTAATGAAGGAAAAAAAAGTTTTTCTTTTTTCAATTTATTGTTTAAAGAAATAAGAAATGAATGAAAATCTTTTCCATGTGAATGTTATATTATCAATTACAATGTAATAAACTCTCAATTCTCTATCATCATAATCATCATATCTACTTAATTTCGCCTTGGAACTTATCAAGCGATCTGGTCAGTAAAAAAAAACGACCATGAATCTCAGTGAAAGTGTTGGATTCTTTGAGCTGGACTCACATTCCCAAAACAATCTGACCCTTGAAAACTACTTTGAACTTGCCCTTAGTGAACCTTTGCAAATATTTTTAATCTGTTTGTACAGTTTGACCGCTTTACTTGCCTTCGGGGGTAATATAACCGCTATTTGGGTTCTAATGGCGGGTAAAAGATCATCCAAGGAGTTAAGAATCTTTCTGGTTAATCTTGCAGCTTCCGATATTACGATGGCCCTTTTTTCAATTCCATTCACTTATACCTCATACATGTTAAATCGTTGGATATTCCATCCATTGTTTTGTCCCTTTGTTCAATTCATGACACTTTGTTCAGTAATCGTCAGTGTTTACACACTAACAGCGATAGGAATTGACAGGTAAGTTAAATTGATGATATTTCTCAATTGTTACTCACTCAAGATCATCTTTCATGATATTACAATTTGCTCAGTATTAGTTTTTTTCCCTCTCTCTTTTATGTTGTAAACATATTGAATAATATTCTTGTGGTAAATCATCAATATTGACTCTGCTTTCCAATGAACATGATAAATAGTCTTAATATCAGGTCAAATAAAGAGGTTGACAGTAAATTCTTACAGGTTATCAAATTGATTGTCATGATAATAGGTCAACAATCATTATTCATCTCACTACTTCACCTGAATTTTTCACCAGCTTCAGTTTCAAACAATATCCATTGAGCAGATTAACTTTACTCAATGAAATGTATCAATGATTTTCATGAGCCAAATGAATCAAAACCAAGTCCCATGTAAGATATTACTCAAAATATCAGAGTCATAAACATTTCCACTGATTGTTTCACTGACTCTCTCTTTTTATCATCATCATAAAATCCAGGTATGAATGTTTATCGTCTCATGAGTACAATTAGATAAAATATCATGAAACTTTGAGCAGAAAAAAAGTAAAACAACAAACCCTAGAGTTCAATTGAATATCATGTTTCATTTTCTAGTTTCAGGTATTCAAGTCTAAGAACAATTTAGATTCTAATTCAGTAGCTAAAAGAAAGATCAGATTTTTTTTTATTAACCTTATAATTCAATTGTAATGATGATATTTAACACTGATTATTGGGTTAAATAGTTGATCTGATTAACACTTTGATTGTAGTTGATTCTGTGCTTAGGTAAAGTGGATTTACCTTAGGAAAATGTTGGAATTTGGTATTCAGAATTAGCAAGAATTTGAAAAGGCAATTGTATTAGTTGATTATAAGATGATGATCAAGATAAACATTTGATTATTACGTAGTGATCATGGTGATCTTTAATAGCTTCAGGTTACCAATTGGAAAAACAAATGATATTATCAATTTCTGGTTAACCTAAATTCATTTGTAATCACATGAGCAATTGAGTTTTGTGGTTACAATGGTTAGTAGGTTTCGATTAATATCCAAACTTTCATGGAAAACAATTGGAATCAGATTATTATCTTCCACTTCCTGCCACTTCTCTTGCAACTTCCTCTTCTCAGGAGATGAACAAGTTTTCTTTTTCCAGGAAAACAAGAAGGAGATGAAGATGATACAGGGTAAAATCTAACGGTGTTTATTATTATGAATGATGAGGATTCTTCACAATCTATAGATTGATAACTTAAATCTTTCGAAAATTAAGTTTATCCATTTTCTATGGGTTTTCAATGACAACAAAGATGAAAAGTTTTCAACAAGAGGATGAGGATGTAATAGTCCCATCATCTTATATTATCTCTTATTTTTCTTTCTCATTCTTGTCAAAACTTATATTCTTGTTGATTCCATTTGAAAAGGGCTGATGGCTTAAGGGGAATCTTCATCTTTTAGCAATTCTTTCATCATTTTGATAACAGTTCTTTGCATCCTCATCACAAGAAACTCATCATAGAAAACTGATAAATACTTTTTCCATTCTTGGGTTATTCATTTTTTCACTTTCAAGTTTCATTTTGAATGATTGATTCTCAATTCAGGGTGAACTCTTTTTTTTTACCTGTAGAACAGAAAAAAAATTGTCTAATTAATTTAGTTATTTAAAAAATCTCAATGAATATTTAATTCAGTTGATTTCATGGAGAAATGTTTATTATGACCTTTTCTTATTAATCTAATAGGACAAAATTTTAGTTTGTGTCAAGTGAGCAAATTAAAGTTTACTAATACGATTAGGATGATGATTGTCATTATTGTTTAATCAGTAAATTACTCAGAAAATAACGGAAATATAATTAAAGTAATGATGATTAACATGGAGCTTAATTTGTGTTTCTCTCTTCAAGTGAAAACAATAATTAGATTTAATTACAATCAATGTAGAGAAAAAGAAAAAATCGACAAAAAAAAATAACTATCATTTCAGATAATCTGAATCACTGAATACAATTCAGGCTAAATTGTATAGACATGACGATAAACATGGTGAACAAAGATTCTTCAATAAAAGTTCATCATTTATCCGATCTTCTATTCAACCAATGACCTTGAGATTTGAAGGTCAAAAAAGGCTTTAATTACTGCTGCGTTCTTTGGTCAAGTTTGACCTTCATATTAGTTTACGTTCTTGAGATATTCATGGGAATATGATGAATGAAAAACTCACTGTATTATCAATGAGAGAAAATGATCTTATTATTATGTTTAACTTGTCATTAAAGATGAACATGATGATGATGATAAACTTTTCTGTCTTTTCATGATGCTCAAGAATCTTTGTTCACCATGTTAATCATCATGTTATATTATCATTCCAATTTTGATACACTAATTGCTCTGAGGCTTTTTATCAATTATTACATTAATGATAATCACCATGCTCATGATAATACAAAGTTATGATAGAGATGATTGTTACTATTATAATAACATTATCAGAAAAAGCTAATTCATACAATCATATCAAATTATTAGAAATTGGTATCATCGTCATGATAAGATATGAAAAATTGATCGATAACCAAATGAATGATTGGAAACCAAACTAAAGTAAAAAAAACTTATATTTGACATGAAAAGCATGAGGAATCTGTCAGAATCAGAGATAAATAAATTGTTTGGTTAAAAATGAACAGGATTCAACGATTCTGGCTTATCATCAACAGCATCACCATGATAAGTGTTTGTCACAGGGTAACATGAGTTTGAATTGCAAAAAGAAACGTTGACTTGAAAATAACCACGCCTATCGGTGTATACAAATGTCTATGTATCGTTTTGAGATTATTGAAATTTATGTGAATTTTCATGGTCAACATGGTGAAAAAAAGGTTCTGCTGAGCAAAAAATAGATTCATCAGAACCATATGAACTTTTTTTTATGTTTTTTTCTTTGCAGATTAATTCATTTAACTTAATCTACTTGAAACTTTTCTTAGTTTCTTTCTCTTTCTGTCATTATTATTATTATTTTTTAGGTCAACCAGAATTTTCAGTTTCTCTTCATGACAATATTATTAACTTTTCACCGAGAAAAAAAAAGGTTCCATTTCAGTTTTATCCTCTCATTGATCTTAATTTAACCACCTACACTCTTCATCTCTTTCCTCTCTCATCAATTTCTATTGTTGGAAATGAGACTCACAACAAGAATCAAACTTCATCTCCTAAACAACGACTAACATGATATTATTAAAATGATTAAATCGATGACAATTTGACAAGAAAATTGATCAAATATCATTGGGAGCGAAAAGTTTATCAAATCAACATGGTTTCAGAAATTTCTTGCTCTTTTTTAAGATTCAGTTATCATGTTATCGTCAATTCTGGTTGAGAAACATTTCAACATTCGAGTAAAAATCAGAATCAAAATTATGGCAAAGTTTTCAATCGATTCTCATTCCAAGAAATAGAAAGATAGAAATCAAACTGAATCTACTTGCAATTGAATAAAAAGGACAATGAATATTTCTGTTAATTGTCAAATGAGAATCAAAGTTCCAACTAATTAGTCCAAATTCATTATGTATTCATTAACGTTTAGACCAGTTAGAAACTCTTGATTGAAATAAAAGTTGAGCTTCTCCTCTAATTAAACTTTTCAAATCAATTTTTTTCCAACTCAATTTTCACCATGATTATATTTTTTCACCACTATTCTGATAAACATAATCACAACCTTTTCGTTTTACCTTTTTTTACATAATTTAACCATCAACATGAAAGATTGATTATTCTACCATGTTAACATTACCCATTCTATTAATGATATCACCTTGATTTTAATCATTACATCAGCTGAATGATTACATGATAATCAGAATAAGTAAATAACTCTTTTTTTCATCAGATTCTTTTCATCTAATGGGCAATGATTATTATCATCTAAAGCAATATCTAAATTAAGATTTCTTTGACTATCATTGTAGCATTTTCATCATCAGAATTGATATTTATCCCTTTCGTTTCAGGGAAATCTTATCACTATCTCAAAGTTTCTATCTCTCTATCTCAATTGTGATATTATCTGATTCCAGTATCAAGTCAATAGTCTTAATCACTTGAAGATTGTAAATGTTACTAATATTAACCGATAAAACTGAATCAGAACAAGATTATGATTATGATAACTTATAACTCGTAGATTTCATTGATTTATTAAATAATTGATGAGGAATAATCCAACTGTATTATCGTAATGATAATCTATTAGATTCTTTGAATATTTTTGCCTTTTCGCGATTATCATTGTCAAGGAAACTTATAATTTCATCTTCAGGGTGAATTCACTGGTCCAAGAGATAATAGGGATAAAAGATAGATAATAACATGAATCAAATCACATGAGAGATGAAAGATCACTGAATATATAATATTTACTTTGATATTGAATTTTAGAGGAAAAAAATAATAATTGATTCTGTCTTTTCATTGAAAATCATTTTTTTTTACAATCAAAAATTTACAGTTTTTCCATTGACGATTCTTTCAGGGTGGAATCATGTTCATCAATAATTAATGAGAAGAGATAAAATTAACACTTTGACTGATCCATAAATAGTAAAATTGATTAGATATGGAAGGTTAATCATTGGGAGAGATAAAATCGATTAGAGATATTAAATGATTAGTTTACTACACTAATCAATTGAAATTGAAATTCATTAAGAAAGATAATCAATACAATCAATGGATTCATCATGTTGTTCATGATAAACTAACAGAGCATGAGATTGTTCATTACGAACATTGAATTCGAACTTGTTTTCTCTCGTTGTTATTTGAAAATTTGTTCCAAAAATCACCTGAAAATAATCACAAATTCATTAATTGATTTGTCTGTTTCAGGGAAATTTCATTGATTCCCATTAAAATTCATGATGTTTATCAAAAAAAAGAATCAAAAATAACAGAGGAAAATTATGTAAACAG